AGAAAATCTGATAGATTGTATAGTAATTGGTTAAGGTTTTGTAATAAATAAATTCCCTTAAATGGACTGACACAATATATATGTAAAGTGCAGCAATATGTAATGTATCCAGCAAAGCTGTATTTTATTATTGTTTTGTGATAACAAAAAAAATCACCCACTAAAAATAGCAGGTGCAAGGAAAACGATTCAAATCAATTACCTCGGCAAACTCGGTTGTGGCCGAAACGTCGTGAGAATTTTATCGTGTTATTTTATTTTTTATTAATTTATTATTTTATTCTCATTCTACGTGACTTTACCGAAAGAACCAAAGAAGATGAAACTCTTCTTGTTGAACAAAATTACATATTTTTTTGTATAACCTGAAAACATTTCATTGCTTCTTCAGGAGTCAATTCGCCTAGGTGATGAACGCACTGAGGAGGTGTGGACGATCCCAGATATAAAGCAGAATCAAAATGGTGTTTATAGTTGTCAAGCTCGTGATACTGGGTCGTCCGTGGAGACCACAGTTCGGGCAGAACATGACATAAACGTGCATTGTAAGTACTCGTGTTTAACACAAACACCCTTTGCCCATTATAAATGCATCGGTGTTCGTAGAAAGCGACCTGCGTGTCTTGTCTGCGTTTTACCCCAGATATTGAGAGACTACAAATACTGGGAATTCCCGATGGGGAAGTCAACGAAAGGGGATAACATCACGATGACGTGCAGCGCAAGCTCATCTGGGAAAATCATCTACCATTGGAATAAGGTACAACCAAGGATTAAATCTTGACTTAAAGCTTTCGTGACTGCAGGAATTCATGTTCTTGGGTCTTTTGGTAAAGTCACATAGATAGGTTCGTAGAAAATAACAAAAAAACTACCACGCTTCCATGATGTTATGAGATTTGGGCACATTCTGGATGATTTGGTCAAAAGCCAACAGATATCACTGTCACTTATCACCTCTTTTATCTGTGATTTTCACAAATATTGCTATACTTCAGCTAATTATTGGTGGTGTGAATGTGTATCTAATTTGTTTTCATTTTCAGCATACATGTTACTGTGATGCTTTTCACTTGTGAAGGATGGCAAATGGTAAGAAGATGGCCACATTCTCACTCGCCTCCACGTGTCCTTATCTGATTCTGGGTCATACACGTGCGTTGCTGGATTGGTTGAAGGCTCAATGTTTGTAGACAAAACAGCGAACATCATCGTGAAGGGTATGCACAGATCACAACTCAACCTGCCTTGTACATGTGTGCCCTCTCACCCCAAGACAACCATTCTGGTGTGTAAAATGCGATACATTTTGAAACTAGGTTTTAATGAAACACATACCAGTAAAGCATACATAGCTAACATTCTTAGGAAGTGCTTTTTTACGAGGGAAAACATCAACTAGTATTGCTCGTGTGGGAAGGGATCATGTTGATTATTGGTATTGTAGTAAAATTAAAACGGGGGATTGAGGGAGATGGGGAGGGCATCATTGTATTATTGTTAATTTTCAGATAAATATATCGCTGCGTCTTGATTTATCTGTATTTTCCCAGGTATTGATGGAGCACAAATATTGGGAATTTCTGATAGAGAAGTCAACGAAGGAGAAAACATTTCGATGACGTGCAATGCAAGAGCATTTACAAAGATCACCTACCACTGGAGTAAGGTACAACATTACCGTCATCACTGTCAACATCATCAGGATATTGTACATATACATTTACAATCCATTGTCAATCCACTACTGAATGAGAGCCTCCCCATGCAGCGCTGGTCGTAGCAGTTGTTTTGGCCATACTTCACCACGCTGGTCAGTGTTGGTTGGTGAAGGTGGGCAACATAGACATGGGAGCATTGAAGTACATTAGAATAATTGATTTTGCTGTGCTACCCTCTGCTACACAGACTGTAGCTACACAGCTGATACCTGCATGGTGGTCGCCAATATAAGCACTCTCCAACTCAACCCTACTTAGCTACCAAGATCTGATGAAATGAGAGCATTCTGGGTGATTTGGTCGAAGGCCATCAAAATATAATTGAAGTCAATATCTGTCAATATAAACCACGACCTCTATTTTTGTCTGTGATTTTCACAAATACTAATATTGCAGTAAGAGTGATTGTTCAACATAATAATGAACACCTTCCATGAATGGGAAATCAAAGAATGGCCATGCTGCGACTGTGGTCCAAACCATCAAACACATCACCGATGAATGTACCATCCATACGCATCATGGTAGTGTCACTGAGATCCATACAGCATCTACTGCCTCCTTGGATGGGTTGAAAACACGTAGCATTCAACTATAACACGTTTCAACACTGTTTATTTTTCTCATTAATTTATCATCATAATAATCATCGTAATAATTTGTTACAAGTTCATTCATATTTGTGAAAGGAGGTAATTGGATGAGTATGGGCTTAGCTTTGTCATCAAGATGGACTGAACTAGCTATTATGACTAATGCTTTGCTGTGTTTTCATTTGATCATGTCTCAATGCCATGTCTGAATTAGGGTATTCCTTGTTGTTCATGTAGTTTTGCAATTTTCACATTAGCTAGTTATTTGTGATGTGAATGTGTATCCAATTATTTTCATTGTCAGCACAAATTTTACTCATAACAAATGTACTAATAAGGCTCATTTGTGATTATTTTCACTTGTGAAGGATGGCAAACGGAAAGAAGATGACCACATTCTCACTCGCCTAAACGTGACCTCATACGATTCAGGGTCATACACGTGTGTTGCTCAATTGGAGGACGGCTCGATGTCCGTGGATGAAACAGTGAAGGATATGCACAGCTCACAACTCAACCTGCCTTTTACACGTGTAGTGAGTCACTTTCCAGACACTATTTTAGGAGGCAACGTTTATTCTACACTATATATCTTACACACTGTTCACACACGGGATAACTATTTACGGATCAGACCGGCCAACATGCTGTCGGCCCACGACGCCGGAGACAGACGAAGACAAAGACGTAGCACCTCGTGTTCCATTCCACCTGTAGACAGCCCCGATTCAGCCTCGGGGCTTCCTTTTTATGCCCCGTTGCGTGGCCTGGCTCCGCCCTCGGCCACGCCCCCTTCTGGAACCTTCCAGAAGGTCCTGGGCCATGCTCCCAGGGTCCCCTCGATCACCTTTGCCCTACATCCCTCACAGCGGGCCATCACGTGCTTCGCCAGCCGGCTGGGGTGCCTTGTCCCCACATGCCCCTCTCCGCCAGCAGCCAGTACCACGCCCCCTAGTGACCCACTGCGTGGCATTACCTGCTGTGTTGGCGGGCAAGCTGCTATACCCTGCTCTGTCGGTAGGACTCATATGCCCCTCTCTGCCAGCAGCCAGCACCATGCACCCCAGTGACCCACTGCATGGCATTACATGCTGTGCTGGCTGCTACATCCACATTCCCTCATGCTACTGTACCTAGCGCTATGCGCCGTAGTGATACATTCTATGTCACTACACACGTGTGCCCTCTAACCATAAAACAACCATTCTGGTGTGAAAAATGTGAGAATTTTAAACGAGGCTTTAATGAAGCCCCCAGCAGTAAAGCATACAATGCTAACATGTTCTCAAGAATGGTGTTTTTTTATGTGGGAAAACATCAGCCAGTACTGTTAGTGTAGGAAGCGATCACAGGGATCATTGGTATTATGGGAATATTAAAAAGGGTAATTGGAAGGGAGCTGGCGAGGGAATAATTGTAAATGTGTCAGTGTTCATGAAAATATACCTGTGCGTTTTGATTGATCTGTATTCACCCAGGTATTAACGAGGTACAGATACTGGGAGTTCCTGATGGAGAAGTCAACTAAGGAGAAAACATTACGATGACGTGACAATGCACGAGCGTTGAGAAAAATCACCTACCATTGGAATAAGATACAGCATCACCATCACTGCCAACATCATCAGGACATTTAACATTTACATGAGAGCCTCCCCATGCTGTGCAGGTCGTGGGGGTTATTTTGACCATACTTCACCACGCTGGTCAGTGTTCGTTGGTGAAGGTGGGCAACATAGACATGGGCAGGGGCGGAGCCAGGATTTCAGGCCGGGGTGACATTCAACAAATGTTAATATCAAGAATGATTAGAGAGTCGGGCTGTTGAACTAGACGCCATCGGTTGGCGACACACTCTGACAATGCATTTGCACGGAGTCCGCCAGACCGAGTGTCGTACACTTATACGCAGAATGTCACCCCCCTGTCACCCCCCCCTGCCTCCGCCCCTGGACATGGAAGCAAATAATTGATTTTGCTGCTCTAACATTTGCTGCACACAATATAGCCCCACAACTTATAATACCTGCATGGTGGTCGCCCATTTAATCACTATCCAGCTCCACCTTGCTGAGCTTCCAAGATCTGATGAGATCAGAGCATTATTGGTGCTTTGGTCAAAGGCCGTCAGAACATCACTGATGTCAATATTTGTCAATATTGATCATCAGCTTCTTGTCATTTATCACCTGTTTTGGTCTGTGATTTTCACAAATACTGATATTACAGTAAGAGTGATTTTTTAGCATCATAATGAACGCCTTACACGAATGGAAACTCAAAGAATGGCCATGCTGCGACTGTGGTCCAAACCATCAAACACATCACTGATGAATGTGCCATCCATACGCATCATGGTAGTGTCATGGAGATCCATACATCATCTACTGCCGCCTTGGATTGGTTGAAAAAACGTAGCATTCAACTAAAAACACGTTTCAACATTTTTGCTTTTTCCCATCCGGCAATATGAAATAAGAGCGTTATGGTTATTAATCTTAAGTGATTGATTTATCATAATAATTTTTAACAAGTTCATCAATGTTCGTGAAAGGAGATCATTGGATGAGGATGGCTTAGCTCTGTCAAGATGGACTGAATTAGCTACCATGACTAAAGCCTTGCTGTGTTTTCACTTCATCATGTCTCAATGCCACGTCTGAATTAGGGTATTCCTTGTTGCTCATGTAGTTTTGTAGTTTTCACATTGGCTAGTTATTTGTGATGGGGATGTGTATCCAATTATTTTCATTGTCAGCACACATTTTCGTGATATAATATGTACTGAGGCTCATTTGTTATTATTTTCACTTGTCAAACGGAGGACGGTTCGATGTCTGTGGCTAAAACAGTGACCATCACCGTGAAGGGTATGCACAGCTCACAACTCAACCTTGTATGTAAAAATAACTTGTTTCACACAAAACGTAGCCAACCTTGCCTTGCACATGTGTAGTGCCTTCTCTTCAGTTTCTTGCTAAGATCAGCACGGGAAGGTCTTCCCAACTCTGTCGTAATAGCGCATACCTTATCTTGCTTACGCAAAATGCAGTATATTGCCAAATATATTGCATTAGAACTCCGTTTTACAGACCACGGTTTAAAGACAGTGTAATATGTAATTGGACAGACGCGTCCCATCTGTATATGATACAATGTCCATAATTACTATTTATTTGAAACCGATATCACGTGTTACCTCTGTGTGCACACATTTGTAGTTAAGCTACGCCATACTTGCTATAATACAATATTCATTTAGCAATAACGGTTCCACGAGTCACTTATTAGCATTAAATAGTAAGCATATATTCGCAATAATTGAGTATGACATCAGTGTTCATTTAACATGTTTTAATTTAATTTGTCTTCATTTAAACAAACGAGTACCCACCCTACCCACTGCCCCCACCTACTCCCACCCAATGCCCCCACCCACTACCCCACCCACTGCCCCACCCACTGCCCCCATCCACCCCTACCCACTGCCCCCACCCACCCGTACCCACTTCATTTCTCGGGTTGAGCAGTGATATCTATGGGACCTTTTTTGGGGCAGTATCAAAGTACGAACAATAATAGGTTTTACCCTTTCTGGAAATAAAAACAAGGTGTTCAGATGTTCAAACACCAAATAGAAACCTTTTTGCAAGGAATCAAGTCTGCATTAACCACACGTACTTGTGGTAAAACATGCTTATGATAGTATATGCATTGTCTGCGAAGCTGATTGGCCTACACCAGAGAGGTCCCACAGTAATAACTGCTCAACCTGAGATAGAAATGCTCCGATACTGCATTGTATTTGTACTGTTCACATTTTGGCGTTCTCTGGTCTGACACTGATGAAACAAGGCCATAAAGAAGGCTGTCTCAGGTGTAGGCCAATCAGTTTCAAAGGCAATGCAAAAATTATCAGAGCATGTTTTGTTTGCGTGTTCACCACAAGTGCGTGAAGTTAATGCAGATCGGATTCCTTACAAAAGGTATATTTGGTGTTAGAACATCTTAACACCTATTTTATTGCTAGAAAGGGTAAAACCTATTCTTATTTTTCATAACTTAAGTGCAGTTTAAATATTGTATATATATATTTCTTTCAGGTGTAATGTTTTATTCCATTACAATTAGAATGTATCAAGATTCAAAGATGGTTAATGCTCATCAGGTATGCTGAGGTCATATTTTATTTTTTGCCCTTCTATTGCATGCCCAAAAATATCTGTGAATGTTGTGTCTGTGGGACGTTCAGGTTCATGGCTGTTTTGGATCTATATAGCTTCAGGAGTTGTTGGTGCTATAGCAATAATCTTCATAATTGTGGTAATCTACTGCATCCACAAAAGAGGGTGAGTATCACAATCCTGTAGCCATGCACACTTTTTATTCACGGAGTTTCATCATTGGTGACCGAGTGGTTCACACATTAGAAAGCTGAACTGACTCCGCTGAGACTTGGGTTCGAATCCAGGCAGTGGCCTGTGATTAATCTTGGTTCTCAAGTGTAGTGAGTTGATGACCTCATGGACTGAATGTCCACAGAGAGATCTGAAAATGGCCTTCGATGCAAAACATTGAGCAAAGTTCCACTCCGCTTGCCGGAAATGCAACTACAACCCAGACCTGACCATAATTTACCAAGATCTTAGTGGAAGCACACTTCCACGCATCCCGGAATATGTGTTCGCGATCTTCCCCAACATAGAACCATCATCATCCACGTCAACATTGAAATCCCTGTGATGTTGAAAGGAATCCCACGGTGGAACCTGCCCAAAGCTGGCAGGGACTGCTAAAGGGAACCCATCAACGAAGTTATTTGAATCCCTGCGGCACCAGAATGTTATCACCGGTTTGTTGGCCTCCTTACCACTGCTGTCAAAAAACGTATACCTCAGGGCTTTCAGAAATAATGCATTGCTTGTTGGACAAAAGAGATGCAGGATCTACTCCGGAAGTACAACCAGTCGGGTAGTCCACAAATTTTAAAGCCTTGCTGGAGTCGCTAGACTCAGCCAGATGCCAGAGGTAGATTGTGTTGAAGGACTGGACTTCACACACTCTAGCTGTCATGTCTGGGCCCTTTCATGACATATTGGAGCCACTAATTTGATGGAATATCAGAACTGAAAAGTGCAACCCGACTCTATCGCCTCTAAACTAGCAAAACATTTTGTTAAAAATAGGAACACAGTGAAAACGGACGAAAAATATACTGGAGGTGCATAGCACGTACAGTATATTTATTTCACCTCAGCCTGAACTTTCGCACCCCTGCCCATTCAGTTAATTACATTTTACTTCGTTTGAATGAGAAATATTTTTTGTTATAAATTATAAACTCAACATATGTATTTAATGTGCATTAACGATACACTTTCACATTTTATATGTTCTCGTGGCAACATATATTTTAGTTACATCATGGAACCTCCTTTGACAGTTCCTATTCTCATGATAAAATTAGCATTTTGCTAAGACGAGTCATACCCTCAGTCTTGCCCACTCCATAGTTGCTGACAAGTTGATGAGTCCTCATTAATCGGTGCTCCTTTGTGTTCAGTTATTTTCGCCTATTTCTTCTTGGCCTGTCATCGGCTTTGTAGCCTCATGTTCTTCCGGCGAAGCCCTTGCTGTGGCGTCCGTGCGTGGCAAACGTGGTGTGCAGAATGAAAACAAACTGACGAACTTTACTGTGAGAGAGATGAGGGGGTCCCATTCAAAACGTCTGAAAAAAAATGTACCGCAAAGACGCGAAGGAGAAGCGTTCGCTGCTTGCTTGTTGTTCGGTGAACAACAATGGAATTTGAGCGGACGTGTCTGGCACGTTACCTCCAATTGCCCCCATGTACACACCATTATTTCTCTGAGACGTTGAGCCCTATGGGGCTGCTGAGGGCTTCAATTGTAACGTATGAAGGCTACGCTAAGATACTATATGCAATTGTAAAATCCAAACTACTGGAAGTAAGAACTGAACAATAACATTCGGAAATTATAGTTTTTCTCCTTTCAAAAAAACAATAACTTGACGAAATATTTGCTGTTATAGACCACATCACCCGTGCATTTTGCAGCTTTGGCCAGACACAAAACCTTCCGAGCCGGAATCTCGGTGGCTTCCCTGGATTCCCCAAAGTGCGAGTTTGCCAATTTCATTCATTATCTGGCGTGTGTAAACAATATTCTAGCAGTGGTTTTGTCCTCAGCTCTGGCAGTGCCCCGCCCCGCCGCCGCCGCCCTCGTTAAGCCCCGCCCCCGCGAAGTCACGTCTCCATCCCGCACCGCCCCCCGTTAAGCCCCGCCCCCGCGAAGCCACGTCTCCATCACACACCGCCCCCCCGTTAAGCCCCGCCCCCGCGAAGCCACGTCTCCATTACGCACACGCCCCCCTTTAAGCCCCGCCCCCGCAAAGCCACGTCTCCATCACGCACCGCCCCCCGTTAAGCCCCGTCCCCGCGAAGCCACGCCTCCATTACGCACACGCCCCCCGTTAAGCCCCGCCTCCATTAAGGCCCACCCTCACTCCTGGGTTCGCTCCCAGCTCGACCACGCCTCCCGTTTTTCCGCCCGAACGAACAATGGAATCGATAAGGGGGAGGATTCGTCAACGCACCATTCTGCGCTCGTCGATTCCGTTCCAAACCACGCCGCACCCCAAACGGACAAAGGAATCGACAGGCGAATCTAGCAATGGAGCCTCACGGCTCCTAAACCAATAAAGGAATCGACAGGGGTAAATCGCCTACGCACCGTTTTGGCGCGAATCGATTCCGCTCCGTCCCCCTCCTGAGACTGAGTCATGTTGGACGATGTGAAGTTTGTGCGTCGTAAATCGTTCCATGGTTGCCTGTTATAAGCGTCGTAAAGGTCGCAAATGGGATTGTCGTAAAACGGATGTAATGTTTCCCAAAAATTTCAAAGCATTTTTATTGATTTTTTACATTATGGAACCTCCTTTGCCAGTAACAAGATATAGTAATATGTTTGACCCTTTTAACTGGCACAAAAAACTGACACCTTTATTCAAGGCATCATGTCTGCAATAACCACAACACAAGCAGTCAAAATGCAAACAAAAAAGACAACTCTGATAATAATATTGGCATTGTCCTTGTACGCCTTTTGGCGTCTTCTGGTCCAACACCAATGGAGACTAGGCTCTAAGAAAAGCTGTCTCGGGTGTGGACCAATCAAATTCAAGGACAGTGCATATTATTATCAGAGTTGTCTTTTTTGTTTGCATTCTGACTGCTTGTGTTGTGGTTATTGCAAACATGATGCCTTGAATAAAGGTGTCAGTTTTTGTGCCAGTTAAAAGGGTAAAACCTATTACTACATTTTTATTGACATTTTCAAATACGTAAAAGCGATGTTTAATTGAATACTAACGTTGTAGAAACGTTATGCGCTCAAAAAATTAACTTTAAAAATTTCGGACTAACTAGTAGTATGACAATACTGCACGTTGTCTAGTACATACGCATTAAAAGAATGAAACGTTGACATTTACTTCCACAGTGCACGTGCGTCTATTGCCTACGAACGCACATCATATACGCTGTAATAATGTATGGGCTGAAGCCGTCCTCTCATTGCGCTTTGAACGAACCTATCAAGCTGAATTGGATTCCTGGCCACGGCTCGCGCCAGTGGTGAAGTTGATAGCTGAACTTGTCCTGATTGCACCCCCTTCACCAACCCACACTGACCAGCCTCCTGAAGTATGGTCAGACACACGAATATTCGTACCCGTCAACCCATACGGTTTAGCCCGTATTGTTTTGCAGGGACATTGAGAATTTCAGGTCCATACGGCGTGCAGCCGTTTCAAAACGGGCATTTAAAAATACAAAAAACGTTCTCCCTTGTGATGGGACTTTGTAGGATGAACGTTGAGATGTATTAAGGGGCACGGGGTGACCAATAAGGGCTTAATTGGTCTGTAATAAGGTTAGGGCACTGATAAGGGGTTGACAGGTATGTAACCCACACCAGCCTGGTGAAGAAGAGTCAAACACGAATTTGACCGAAAAGTGTGGGGAGGCTTTTTAATCCAGTTCTGTACACAACATTGACTATAAAGTGCATATTCTTGGTTCTTTCGGTAAAGTCACGTAGAAGGGAAACAATAAAATAATAAAAAATATAAAACAAGAATATGAATCCCTGCAGTCACGAAAGCTTTAAATCTAAATTTATAAAGTGCATACTTTAATGCGTGCGTAATATGCATCAAACAGCCGTTATAATAACTATACTGCAAGTCTGTGTAGAACATACATTTGTACGCTAATTTATTACAGAGGTCGTCACCAATAAATGACCTCTGGTCCTCATGCCAAAGCCACAATGACGGTATCAGAGGGTTTTCTCCAAAACAAAAATACCTGGAGTTAGGATCTCATCTGACGGCTTAGCCAATGTGTGTGTGTGTCTGACTTTTTTGAATGCACCGATCATCTGTTGCCTGGGCTCATGGCACTAACAATAATGAGGAAACGTTTCACCAAATGTACATTTAACTTTTTTCGCACAGTACGTGGCCGACCGAGCTATTCGGAGGTGCGACTTACCATAAAGTGTTGCTCATTTAACAACCCCCATAAATATAATAGGCCCAAGCGACCCACAACCAGGATTTGAATTTATTACGTTCTTACTGATAGTTGTAGCTCTTACCGTGGTACCATATAGCCATATAATCGATATATGCACCTACAAACCCAGTAACCTGGACTTGATTCAAATGATAATTGAGCCTTTCCTGGGCCTCCTCAATGTCAATTCAGACTTAAATTAACGACACACTTCTGCGGAATGGAGAAACATTTGTATATAACACTGCCATTTCATAGTGTTAAGCCTATGCTGTAGTTGACTTGTATTGGAAATAATTGCGTTTAATTGTACAGGCAATATATAAAACTGTCCTACTGGAGTCAAGGAGTGAGGGGAGGAAGAGAATCGTGTGCCACGTCGGGGCATGGCACGGGGGATGACGCCACAGAAGTACTTCAAGTTTGTCTCTTCAGAAGACCTTTCATCGCCATTATCAGCCAAGATCAATCCGCTACTGGATGAAGGCTTCCCAAGCTGCCACCATTCCTCAGGGTATTGCGTGACCCAACGCTACAAGGAATAACTGCATGTCAATCATTTCGTGTCTACCATGACTTGACGCTTGGTGGCATGGCTTATCTATTTACATGTCAATATTTAATACACCTGAGCTGGGGTAATACTATGTTAAGTCTTGGGGAACCATTTACTGCCACAATAAACACATTAATGGCCCTCTTTTGGCAGTCACAGTGCAATGGTTGAGGTTTGTCTTTGGAGCCTCGAGATCTCAGCTCAGCTGCTCCCCAATTCTTCACTGCAGAAGAAGCATTCAAAGCTGCAGCTTTAATCTCATTACCACTACACAAATCATTTGAATGTATTTAGTAGTTGGCAGGTGAACTACTGGTATCACTTAAATAAAGCTTTGCTCCTTGACCTGAGCCTCATACTGACAGTGAAGTGAAATGCTCAAACAGAAAACAGTTACATATATTTTCACATCATGTTTGCATGTTTTGCCACAAGTATGTGTGGTTAATGCAGACTTGATGATTTGCAATCGGTATCTATAACACTATCTGTTTTATTGCCAGGAAGGGGAAAGGGTAAAATAAATTTTTCTATCAGCTCCAGGATCTCTACATTTGCCCTCCAAGTGCTGCCCTCTAGCTGGCAAGATACGAGCGCGTTTTGCTCGTAAATATAAGTGCTGGTATTTTTTTTAATGTTGGGGTTTACGCGCATGTGTACAATGGGATGAGACGATTGATTTTTCGATTTTTAGGTTTTATTTATTTCAGCAGGCAGGGCCCAATTAGGGGCCGTCCATAAATGACGTCACGCGATTTTGGACAATTTTTGACCCCCCCCCCCCGTCGTCACACGGCGTCACAAAAAGTCAGACCCCCCCCCCTCAAATATGACGTCACAAAGCTCTGCCCCCCCCCCCCCAAAATATATAAAACATGTTTCAAATCGCTTTAAACTATTGTCATTGTAGTGCGTATTTAATGTGGCGCTGCACTCTGATGTTGTAGGAGAACACATTTATTGAAAGAAAAAGTCTATTTTATTAAGTAGATCGTGTTGTCTCTATTTAAAGTTGCGCATTTTGATGTGACGTCATATTTCTCAAACCCCCCTCATCACACATCGTCACAAATGTCTGACCCCCCTCCTTGGTCCGTGACGTCATTTATGGACGGCCCCTTAGCTGTTAGGCTCTGTTTCGTGGACATCGTGCGATGGTTCAGATGCTGTTCTATTAAACAGATCTTAGTCGCAGCCGTGGTTACATAGGTCGCAATACAAACAGCAAAGTATCGGTACTTGTTCCTGTAATATTAAAAGTATCGGCCTTTTAACGTTACAGGAACAGGGAATCAGTCGAAAACGTAAACAAAAAAAACATCACTAAGTTATTTTACGAACAAAAATCAAGGACGGGGAAAAGTATAATTTAACAAAGCAAGCACAGTCAGAAACCAGGAACTTTTAAGTGTCACCCACACAGACTCGGGTTCACGCTTCCCTGTAGATTAGATTACAGCAACGTCTGATCCTGGAAGTTGAATTTCAGGAGTGAACGGAGATTTATCACGGTCGGCAATGATTTAATTCGCAAATCTAGGCGTTCCCTTGGCATCCTCTACACCATTTCTGACCCATCTGGTCACATGTAATGGCAGTGCACAAAGCACAAAAACAAGATTGTATAATGTGAAATACAATTGCAACATTATGGGAAACTGATAGCGTGATAATGATCATATCATAAGATATTGTATTGTATCGTGAACATTTATATTTTGTGGCAACACGATTGGGCCCCGGTGTTGGTATCATTGATGATGGTGGTGGTATTGAATATTATAGCGATACTGTATAGTGTATAGTCATACACAATACGGTACTACTGATTAATTGTAGGCACACTGCTATATGAATGATTACCCCCCAGCTGCCCCACCCCCCAACCCCCACCTCTCTCTCCTCCCAGCTCTCCCGTCGCTGGTAAACAGTGCGCACACTTCAAATAGTCGTTTAATTGTACAAACAATTAATTGAAACCGTGATAACGTGTGCAATTTTAGTGTGAGTGGTTTATTCAGCAGCGCTTTAGTCAACGGTAAGTGTTGCATAGTGGATAGTCCTACCATGATTTTTTTTTTAACGAGTCATGACATGTCACACGTGTAAAATATTTTTTGGGATAGCCCGCACCTCCATATACCCCGCAGGGTCTTGTTTTGTTTGTAAAAAGTGGTATACCCCGCGGGTTATATGCGGGAAAATACGGTAATCGTACTGCATTAATTGGACACCCACCCCATTGCTGTTGAGCCAGCACACCGCCCCACCAGAAATATGGGCCATTTCTGGTAGGGCGTTGGTGATGTCTCACTGTAATATGGAACGTGATTACCTAGCAGGATAAGTTGGATTCCACTTGTTATTTGGGCTACTTTCAATCAGTTTCAAATCAGTTTCAAAGACAATGCATATATTATCAGAGTATGTTTTTTTTGTTTGCATTCTCACCACAAGCATTGAGGTTAATGCACACACGATTCCTTGTAAAAAGGTTTCAGTTGGGTGTTTTAATATATTAACACAGCTGTTTTGTTGCCAGAAAAAAGGGGAAAACCGCTTCTCATGTTTTGAATGTGGCTTTGGGTCACGAGGCTGGCCATCTAATTACCTTCTACAAGTGATGTCGCAGAGTCTTTAATGTACAGTATACTTTTGAGAATATATTAATCAGGCTTTATGCCCCACAACATTACTGGTGAATGTCAATCAGGGGCGAGCCACGGGGCTGGGGGGGGCTCAGCCCCCCCTGAAATTTTGGGAAAGTCGGTAATCGGGATAACCGGATATCCGGCTGCTGCAAAATGCTGCAGGCTGCCACCTTGTGCTGCCCTGCAGGCTGCCACCTTGTGCTGCCCTGCAGGCTGCCACCTTGTGCTGCCCTGCAGGCTGCCACCTTGTGCTGCCCTGCAGGCTGCCACCTTGTGTGCTGCCCTGCAGGCTGCCACCTCGTGCTGCCCTGCAGGCTGCTTGAGCGGCAGCCTTTAGAACTTATCGAGCTTATTAGCCACATCAGCGGCTCCGACCTATTAATAAACTCCGCGTTCAAATCCAATAAAATTTGTTTTATACATTTGTGGCGCCCATTGGAAAACATAAACACTGGATATCTCAGAATATTGAAGTCAGCACCCCCAAAGTCAAAATCCTGGCTCAGCCTCTGATGTCAATATCACTTTTACCGTAACCTGTGTCGTTGCATAACAAATGTGTATATCCTTAGTTCTTTCGGTAAAGTCACGTTGAAGGGAAACAATAAAATAATAAAATATATATAAAACAATAAAAATTCTCACGACGTTTCGACCATAACACAAACGGTCGTCATCAGGTGTGTCGGTTTGCATTAATTTATATATATTTATTATTTTTTTGTTTCCCTTCAACGTGACTTTACCGAAAGAACTAAGAATATGAATTACTGCAGTCACGAAAGCTTTAAATCAAAACAAATGTGTATTCAATACCTCCCATTTTAAATTCACTGCTGGATGACGGTCTAATGCTGTGTTGGTGATGGGGGTTCTTTGACCATAAACGACTCCACCACCCATTCAGTGTGTGCACTTTAACAATAATGGTGCACATTTATCTGGGATTGTGATTGGTGTTTAATTGTTTGTTAGATGTTATGAAACCAACTGCATGTTTTGAATTACAGATTTTCTTGGATAAAGCTTAGTCAACAAAACAATACTCATTTCCTGTATTAAGAAATAATACCTGAGATACTATCTAAGCAAGTGTCCCTACATGAATTTAAAATAAATGTGTAGTGATGTGTTTTTAATTGTTTAATGCTAAAAAAATTTACAAACTTGCACTGTGGTGATTGATGCGGTATGTATTGGCTTAATATATCATTATAACAATTAAATTTTAGAATGACAACATTCATCTGAAATTGCCTGTAAATGCAAAATATATTGACATGTATGTTGGAAATTATGTCCTTAATTTTAAGTGTTTGCATATCCAGTTGTGTTTTTTTATATTAAAGCAAAAATTTATTTGCCTTGATGTTCCACACTTCAATGGATTTCGTAAAGCAAGGCAGTTGTTCACTCTTTTCTAAAGCTCTTTGTGACTTACATAAATAAATAAAAATATTTAAACATTAATATAAATGTCAACTAGACCTCTTTGGGGCAACTGGTGTCATTTCTGTGCTCACGTGAGAGAAATTGCCGATTTAAGCTGGAAATAGAGCATACATCATAAGATTACAGCTCCTGATAAGAGTGAACAAAGGGATGAACTTTATAAGTCTGTAATTAGAGGCTTCAAAATTTGAGCATCACTTCTTGAGTCTGGGTTCGGTCACGGGATGTGTTTCCAAAAAAGCAACAAATATTGTTTTTCATTATTACCCTTTATTTAAAGGCGTTAATGGACACCTCCATATTAATGGAGACCATTAACAAGAGATGATACCACAGATCAGACCTTCCCAGTCATTCACAGATGTATAAAAATAAACAAAGTTAGATGAAAGATCACCTTTCAATAAGCAAAAATATCTTACAGAAGGGGCATCTGTAGATGTTGGCGGAGGCAGAGGAAGGAGAGTTTTTCCAGTCAGCCATGTCTGTAATTGTGAATGTGATTAAGAATTTTAGCATACAAGGCCCTCCTCATCGTTGTGAGTGTGCCACGAAGACAGAGCTATGGGAGGAATATGGCAAGGGTGAATCGAGAGCTAGAGAGCCTCTATAATCACCTTTTGTGAGAGTAAATTGAGCCACATAGCACTTTATTCAGGATGCATGAAAAGCAATAAAATGTTCTTTCGCCAGTGATTAACTCGTGACTAGAGCTATTTTCTGTAATGAAGGCAAACGGAGTTGTAGGATGTGCCTTACTGTACACGGTTTCAGCATACGGGAAATAATTGTCCCATATTGCTTTTGCTGCTATTTATGCCAAGTGCTGGGTGGCGTAAGCAATCATAGGACATCGATACCAGTACCAAGTCGTGTACACATATGTAGAAAAGTGGTGGCCATTTTAACTAGTTTTACGCTCTCGAAGCGAGATGTGTGTTACTCTGTAATCGCGGATGGTTATAGATAAAAATTCAAATATCCGATCTCCGTGTGGACACATGCCGACCCCCCCTCCCCTCAGGGCACCACGTGACTCTGGGCTGCGAGTCACGTGTCTGACTACATGTGTCCAGAGGAAGGAGCAGGGTCTAAAGTACTGCCCATCTCAACGAAGCCAATCGTGACCCGGTCCCCCTTGCACGTCGTCACTATTGCACGCCGCCGATTCATGTCGGCATTTGTTCTCATTTGTCCTGAGATCCACAAAACCACATTTAGCGATCCACGTATTGGCCAGTGGCCACCGCTGAAAGAGGACGTCGATGTCATCCGGCGCCTGTCACGTGGTGCCCAAATGTCCTTTCGGCAGCATTGGGGGCAGTCGTGCGAGTAGAAAGACTACACAATGCTGCTGGGTCCAGGGGAAATGAAACCCCCCTCCCCCCCCCATGATAGTTTATTGATGTTTACCAGAGTGAATACATGCATTGAAAGTAATGTCGAGCCTTGTTTTTTTCTTTTGTTTTACTTGAAATCAGAATCAGAATACTTAGATTGAAGGAATCTAATGAGCTATGACGCTCTTTTTCCACAGATGCCCAGTAGGGGCACGAGTTCAGCAAGTTACAACATCAAACAACACAACGATGGGAGTGCAAAGTAGAGAAGAAGGTTAGAAAGTCACTAAAATAAATAAAATACATGATAAATAAATAAATCAATACAAATAATGCATTTAGACATATTGGGCCTATCCCCCACACCATTTCCCTTGGAGAGATTCTAGATCCACCTCTGGTAGAAGGCCTCCCCATCCGATGTTGCTCATAGGGGATGTTTGACCATACTTCACCAGGCTGGTCAGTGGGGGTTGGCGAAAGGGGTGGGGGGGTCAGGATCATTTCAGACATCAGGCGGCAGTGCTAAGCGCCCTGCGTGCTGAATAGCCGGAATTCGACTCCCGGCCACAGCTGTCATCAGTGGTGCTCTAATAAGATTTTCAATGACAGTATTTACAATGGAATGCCTCTGGAATACTCCCTAAACGCAGCCACGAAAAACGTTAATTACTCGTGCATTGTTACTCCTGTTATTAAGCGTCTGTGCCCTGGTTGAGAATACAATTTAGTGATTCTAACGAAATCCGTGGATGCGTGTCACACAATACGATGCTCCGTCATGACCCATCAAACGTGATGTTGGTGGTGGGGGGGGGGGACCCTAAAAAATACATCCGGCAGTTCACGTTTTTCTTGAATGACTAAAATCACCGGGGTAGCAACATCGTCTGCGGGTGTAGTAGACAGGTGTTATCCCCCCTCCCCCCCATACATAAATGACGTAACGCGATTTTGGACGATTTTTGATCCCCCCCCCTTCGTCACACGGCGTCACAAAAAGTCAGACCCCCCCCCCCTCAAATATGACGTCACAAAGCTTTGCCCCCCCCCCCCCCCCCAAAATAAAACATTCTTCAAATCGCTTTAAACTATTGTCATTGTAGTTGCGTATTTAATGTGGCGCTACACTCTGATGTTGTAGGAGAAAACATTTATATATAAAAAAGTCTATTTAATTAAGTAGAACGTGTTGTCTATATTTAAAGTTGCGCATTTTGATGTGACGTCACATTTCTCACCCCAACGTCACACATCGTCACAAATGTCCCCCCCCCCTCCCCCCCCAGGTGCGTGACGCAAGTGTTGTTTACCGAGCGTCTGTTATTGCAGGCACGACGCATGAATGGTTGGGGAGGTCAGACTTAAGCCCGGCCGCCTTTGTATCCCCAGTACTGCTTCTTTGACACATCGCACCAAGTACTGTATGTACTAATTTAAGCCTCAACCAATGGGAGGTTCAATACCGGATCACACATCACTCGCCACTGATGTTAGCCGTGGCTGGAGATCGAACTCAGGTGGCCAGGTTTGTGGCACGAACTGTAGAGACGAATGCGCCCAGGCGTGTTTTAGGACGCATCTCGTCCACCGTACCTGCCAAATTAAAGTAAATTATTAAACCATTTTTTTTGCTTACCAGGTAAGGCCCAGCTTACCTATATTGCTCTTTTTTAGAAGCGACCTGGCTGCCACAATTGATAGCTCGACCGAATGGCTTATCACGCTTTAATCTAGAGCAGCCGAATACTCCAAAAAGCGTGATGCTGATTCCAAATGTGGAGGGGGGGGGGGGGAAACTGGAAACAAATCCACGCGACCACGGGGAGAGAGAGAGAGAGAGACACGCAAACTCCAAATATACAGCAGCAGCAGCAGGCGTCAGGGTTGGGCTCGAACCCACGACCTCCTCCATGTATACCAGGCGAGGTAGTCAACATCTCCTAGACACCGCGGCGCTCTCGAACGGCGCTTTGACCAATTGTCAACTAAGGCTGTAAGGATATTTCTCTGGTTCCACGCACAAATGCCCACACGTGTTGGAACACGCTGATCTGCACTGCTCCACCCAAAGTACATTACCGCATACAGATTCTGTGACCGCATGCGCATGCTAATCTATTAATAGGTCCAATACATGATGCAGCCATTAACCCGAGACCGATGGAGATGCAATGCATTGTCATCAATAGATTCGATAATCGATTCCAGCACCATTTTAATGATGCAAAAAGAATCAGCTTTAGCCTTTCTGGCAATCATACAGGAGGTGTTCAGATTGATTTGAAGCTTTCGTGACTGCAGGAGTCCATACTCTCTTTGGTTCTTTCGGTAAAGTCACGTCGGTAGAAATACAATAAAAAAACAAATCACGACGTTTCGATTGCAACACAAGCAATCATCATCAGGTGGAAACCCCACAGCAAGAGAAAAAACACTTCGGCAAAAAAAAACATTCTTGCTGTGGTTTTCCCACCTGATGATGATGATTGCTTGTGTTGCAATCGAAACGTCGTGATTTGTTATTATTGTATTGTATTTATCACTACGTGACTTTACCGAAAACACCAAAGAGTGTTCAGATGTTCAAACACCAAATCGACACATTGCAAGGCATCAACTCTGATGCATCAACTCTGATGCCTTGCAACATGCAAAACAAACAAGGTCTAATAATATATATATATTTCAATGCTAATTCCTTTGTCAAGGGGTGCCTCTGCGGATGTGTATGCTTTAACTTTAACATAGCCATTTCTGTGACCAGCCACAAGCTAATCACTCAGCCATTTCATTCCTTTGTCAAGGCGCTTTGTTTCTTCTCACACGGCTTAAAGGTCGTGATCTGAGCGTGGTTTTTTTCACTCCAGCGCTGTCCTACCAGACAGTCTCGTCCCTTCATCTGATGAAGGCCGCTTGTGTTGTAGCCGAAACGTCGTGAGAATATTATTGTGTTATTTTATTTTGTCAATTTATTATTTTATTCTCATTCTACGTGACTTTACCGAAAGAACCAAAGAAAATATATACATTGTCTATTAAATTGATTGGCCTACACCAGCGACAGCCTCCTACGTGGCCTTGTCTCACCAGTGTTTGAGCAGAGAACGCCAAAAGGCGAACATCACAAAGGCAATCAATCGTGTGTGGTGCATGCAGACCTGACGCCCTGCAATCGATGTGTGAACATCTTAACACCTTCTGCGCTATTACATCTCTTCTTGTACTCACCGTTTTGCTACGAGCAACAATGGTCTCACGGACGCTACTATTTTACACCGCAGTAGAGGCCCCCCATAGCCACTACATGGGGTGGTGTCACGTGCACCGCATTACCTACAAATACGCATCGAAAATAAACATCGATACTCACGCACGCAAATTAAGGAACATAGCCTTTTAGATGAATGCACATTGTTCGATGATCAATCGTTGCGGTATTAGAGTACATATGATGTGCATCTATACCAACACCCCCGAATGGACTAATGCACCATCTGATGCACCCACGTAGCTGCCTACCCACGGGAAACAAAACATTGGTCACTTCAGCCTGGATATACACGCACGAAGCTACACTCGCACGCACCGACCCCAGGAAAATGCTATAATTCTGTGCGCATGAATAGTGTTTCGTGTGAGCGAGCAACTCCTGAAGTCGCGATGATGGCGTGGCGAATTATGAATCACGCACGACCAAAACACATTGCTCTCCCATTGTCGATGTGAACATTCAGCATGCGTACTGCACCAAGTGTCTCCGATTAGTTAGCACGGTTGCCTACGTACGGAGCGAAAGAAATTCAACAGATATACTATTAGGGGCGGTCACAGATAAGGGCGCCGTCCATAAATGACGTCACGCGATTTTTGGCGATTTTTGACCCCTTTCGTCACATGGCGTCACAAAAAGTCAGACCCCCCCTCAAATATGACGTCACAAAGCTCTGCCCCCCCCCCCCCAATTTTTTCAACATGCTTCAAATAGCTTTAAACTATTGTCGTCATTATAGTGCATATTAATGTGGCGCTGCACTCTGATGTTGTAGGAGAATACATTTATTAAAAGTCTATTTAATTCAGTAGAACGTTTTGTCTATATTTATTTAAAGTTGCGCATTTTGATGTGACGTCACATTTCTCAACCCCCCCCCCCCTCGTTACACATCGTCACAAATGTCTGACCCCCCCCTCCCCTAGGTGCGTGACGTCATTTATGGACGGCCCCAAAGCTACAATTTGGTTCACATCAATTGCCACAGGTAGGAATTGAACTCGGGGCAACGAAATTCAAATGCAGTGCATATACACCTATACGGCTACATCGCATATACCTGGAGTAGTGTAATCTTAGGCTGAGTCGACCAATCTGGCTCCCATTTCTCTGTGGGTCTCTATGGTTCAATATGAGTCTCTGGGGGTCTCTATGGTGCACTTTTAAGTCATCTAGATTGAAAACTAAGTTCTTTAGAATTGTGTTTTTATTTGCGTTTAGTTTGCTATCCCCCCCCCCCCGCACCTCCGATAAGCACGGTCGGACACTTACGGTGCGAAATAACTTAAACATACATGCATTTCAATTGGCCACCAGCGTTGATGTGCACGCACCACAGCCAGGAATGAAACTCGGGTCACTGAAAGTGTTGTGCACGGCGCCCAAAACGTCTTGACTGCGACGCCACTCGCACGCACACAAAAAAACATAAAGACACGACCTCACACTGACATACACACATACACACACAAGCCAAACCTGTACATAATTAGCGTCTGACTCTGCCAAGCCGGTTTGAGTGGTATGAGAATGTGTGACATGCACGCGTGAAAGCAGCTTGGCTTGGACCGGTAGAGCGCGTTACTCTTCAGAAGACGACAGAGAAAGAGACAGACCAGCTTCGTGTTGGAACACGCAGTCTCTCGTCAGCTGAGCAGTGTGTATATACACACACACACGTGTGCTGCAGCTGATGCTAGTATGCATGTGCAGGGAGCTGACACATCAAGGAGGGCTCTTGTGACCGTGGTGGTGCTGCTACTGCTGGCCTCTGTCGCGGTAAGCCTTTCGTCAGATAATCACAATGTCTCTTATTCCACGTGTCTCCCCGATGTTCTGGTCGGGTTGACCTATAGTGCTGTGGTAAGATGATAATTTGCATATAGTGATACACTTTGCTTGATCATAGTCAGCCGTGGCGAATCCACTGGTGGACGAATGCCTCCCGAAGCCGCCGCTGCTGCCACCTCTCACATGCCTACTCTGTAAACCATCCACCTCGTACCTGCACGCGAACGAATGCCATCACTCCATCCCCTCGGTGGAAGGCCTCTTTGACGCGTTCCACTCCTCGGCTGCCGCTCCGTTGTTATTCGTGACCCTTAGCCGTCATTCATTCCCGTGACATCCCCTTGTCTAAGCCCACTTACGTTTCTTAACACTTGCTGTCATTAAGCTGCATATATTCCCTAAGCCCATGCCTCAATGTGATAACAAGTATCCATCTCTCCTTTGCTTTTTTTTGCACACAATGTAGTTTGTTGTAAAAAAAATAAACCCCTACAACAAAGTTGTTTCCCATGTTTATAAACCATATAGTATTATCAGGTAGTGTGCACTGATTAACAATGATCTTCTTTAGACACATTTGTGCGTTCAGTGCTTAATAACACGCAGAATAATCCCAAACGCAGTTCCGGAAATTGTTTTAGTATGCCACATCTTTCTCACCCTTATTTTGCCCTCGTGACACTCTGGTGGTCTGTCAGAATATACGGTACGATAAATACACAATTGTTATGGATAGCTTGTGCTCTCGTGGTAGTGCCTTACGCTGGAAATCCCGACTCCAAGCGGGAGGAAAATCATCGAATTATAAATTAGACAACGGGTATATTGCTTTCAGCACGGTTGGCTACGCACGGTGCGAAAGAAGTTCAACATACATACATCCATACATTTTGAACGTTAAGTTTAGCTTTCCAAAAGCATTCCAACCTGCTGTCATCCACCTTTTTTTCTGCTTCATCATCTTGGCTAAGGTACGCTAAACATTCGGCGTTTTCCAGGTGGGTCCCTCCAACAGAGGTCTCCTCCCATTGCTGAGCGAACGTTCTTGAACACGACCCTGTTGCTTTTGCTCGTTTTTATCCTGAGCCCAACTTTGCAGCCTCCATTGTTGAGTTCTTGTTAACAATGCCCCGCAGTTTGTTACGATGAGACATTGTGTACTGACTGGCATAATCAATCACATCTGAGATGGTTGATGTTTACGCCATTCACTTTTATGCCTCTGTTACTCAAAAAGGGATAATGATGGCAAACAAAACGTAGAGTGGACGAAGCTCTGTAAAATTGTTCGGGAAAAACGAGAAACGCATTTAAAGCGCACAAAAAAATTACGAAGTCATAGAAATTACAGAAAAAAGGCGACGAAAATGCCATTTGTGATCGGCAGTTCACGCATGTATGTGTATGTATGTACGTACGTATGTATGTTGAACTTATTTCGCACCGTACGTAACCAACCGCGCTAGTTAGAGGTGCGGGGGAAGGACGACAAACTCGGCATACAAAGTAGTTGTAAAGGAATTATTTTGGAAATCTATATTTAAAATTGCATAGCTCCAGTAGCTTCACACGGTAGAGGCAGGGTTTAAAATTTATGAGAGGAATTTTGTGAATTATTCATGTCGTTTGTAATGTGCTCACAATGTTCCAAATAATTAGACTAAAACCACGACCCCAAATTATTGGGGGGGGGGGGGGGTCGGGTGGGGAAGTTTAATGGTTACACCTAAATTGTTGTTGACTACTTGCAAATTGCTACATATTTGATCAACCCAAAAGGTATAATGAGCTGAGTCGAAGGCTGCTCGTCGTGTTTTTTTTAACCACAATGCCACCTGCTTGCACATTTCGCTTGCAGAAGAGCTTTCAAAGAACACAATTGCAGTAGGGATTAGAGGTCTAAGTAAGATGGTGTGTGTGCGTGTGTCGGTGCGTGTATGTGTGCGACCAGGGTTTAAAGGATGAGCCTCCAGGTTCCCTGCCCCAGGAGAATGCCCCCTTGTCCAGCTATAGTAACCCTGCAGGTACCCAATCCACACCGTGTCTTCTTCACGCAGTAATGCGTGCACTCCTCTGCCTAGCTTCAGTTTCCTGAGCATCGTTGTGCAGAAAATGAGTAAACAAAATACAGAATCAAAGAATACGCCTCCTGCACGTATCTGTCCCTTCGTACAAAACGTAAATGTTCACCAGCATTGGTTAAAGCAAGCGTGGTTCTGCTGATGAGACACCTAATGTCCGTACAGGGACAGAATTTTCCTGCGTTGAAACAATGTTTGCTGAAATTGTGCACTCCCAGAAGGCCGTGTGGCTGCCTGGATGTGTCAGTGTACTTTGATTTTCTTTTTTTATGTAGAGGGACAAATACGTGAAGGAAGAGAATTGTCTGATTATTTCGTGTTATTTTTTTTTGCTCAGTTTAGTTTCAGTGCCTCAAATTACTTTAAGGAAGTTGCAGTTTACCAAGTTTTTCAGGTCCACGTGTAAACACCGTGTGCATGCGCACGTGATACAGTGCACGTGTAAATTGTAAAGTGTGATATATGATGTAGCAAGTGGTTTGGATGCGAAATGAAAACGTGCCTTTTTCACACATTTAAAGCACAGTGCATTGACTCATATCCGATTTGCTGGGGACTGATGTATGGGCGGATATGTTGAAAATATTGAATATGTTAACATCTAAGAAAGTAGCAGTTCATCCACGTACAACAATTGCTACTGGATGTGGTGGTTAATCGGTCAGGATGGATATGTGGCGGTCCGTTATGCGACGCTGTACCGTACTGCACCTGTTGGATTTTTAGAAGGGTCAAACAACCCCCACTACCCGCACGGCACGGGGAGGCCCTCATCCAGCACTGGATTGACAAATGGGCTCTACGTGTACAATTTAAGATTTACATACATGTTTGAGTGTGTGTGTGTAGATAAATATTTATATGCGTGGGGAGCGGAAGTGCAGCTGTGAGCACGCTACGCTACGAATACCGGCGACCCGAGTACGATTCCCACTCACGACCAACACCAGTGACGATTATCTGAACTGGTTCTGAGCCTCCCAGAGGCCGAATCAGCCTCAAAATAGTACCGGTGCTATGTGGAAACATCGCTACTGGGGAGACAAAGGCGGCTGGTTGTGGTACTGGCCACCCACCCCCTCGTGTGCTGTTCTGGCCTTTATAGGTGCTCGCTAACAACACTTGCTCTGAAAGACAGTTAAGGCTATATGGGTGATTATTTGACTTTGCTGTGTGAGAAGAAAAGTCGCGATCTCAGCGTGGCTTTCTCACTCCAGCGCTGTCCTACCAGACAGTCTCGTCCCCTTCACCTGATGAAGGCCACTTGTGTTGTGGCCGAAACGTCGTGAGAATATTATTGTGTTATTTTATTTGATCAATTTATTATTTTATTCTCATTCTACGTGACTTTACCGAAAGAACCAAAGAAGATGAATCCTTGCAGTCACGAAAGCTTTAAATCGAAGTCTGATTCTCTCACCGTCTGATTCTCTCACCTGAAGACGGCCGCTTGTTGTTGCGATCGAAACGTTGTGATCTATTATTTTTTCTACCTACGCGACTTTACCGAAAGAACCAAATAGCATTTGGCTTTGTCTTACATATATATGTAAAGTGTTCCTAATACGCTTGTCTTTGCATTGTGTTGCGGGAAATATAGCAACACTGAGTCAGAGTGTGTGCATTTAGTTCACATTACCCTTATTGTGTGCAGGGTCCGATCATTCGACGGGCGACACCATGTACATCACCATCGAGGAGAATGACCCAGGGCCATTCCCCAAAGTTCTCGAGACGGTACGAGGGCAAAGCGACTGAATGTTCCCAACGTCACGGCCGAGAAGTCAAACCTGGGTGTCTGACGTTTGCCGTTCAGTGTGCTTTTATCATCGTAGAGATTCTCAATCCCGCCTTGGCGATTGAGTTTTTTTTTTGTCGATTTTCTTTTTCCCAAAAAGTGTGGGCAACCCCTCCACATTTAGAAATATGATATTATTTCGATTATTTTGCTGATATAAATGTCCACATGATAAGCCACTTTGCTGAGCTGTAACTTTTGGCCAGGTTGCTTCTGAAAAATAAGCTCAGTGGGCTTTACCTGGTAAGATAAAAAAAAAAAGTTTAGTTTTATTTGTATATATATTTTTAAGTGATTTATTTACCTTTTCTATACTTTGCACTCCTATCGTGTTGTTGTATTGTTTGTTGTTGTAATGTTCCGACCCACTCCTTACTCAACATCTGTGAAAAAGAGCTTTAAAGCTCATCGGATTCCTCCGGTATAAAATAAATATTCTGAGACTAATTCTGTCGTAGATCGGAGTGGAGGAGAGCGACCTCCTGCTGTGGCTGGAGGGGGCCGGGGCAGACCAACCCCCCAAAGACCTCTTCGTGCTGGACGGGCCGAGTGGTCACCTGAGTGTGACGGCTCCTCTTGACCGCGAGCAGCACGCAGGATTCCAGGTGTGTCCGCATGTGGTGGTAGTGGTGGTGGTTGTGGTGGTGGTGGTGGTAGTGGTGGTGGTGGTGGAGGCCGGGAGCAGTGGAGCAGCGGTCAGCATGCCGCTGTTCCAACCAACCGTGCTGATCGGCGGTGCAGATGGTGGGGACTGCCACGGAGAAACCATGCCTGGCAGTGACGGTCCCGGTCCTTGGTGTAGATAGGAGGAAGTTGTGAGACGTGGTGCTGTGGAGACTTCTACCATGATCTGCAGTGCAGGGTGAAAGGTGAGACACGGTCGATGGCTGAGGGTAGAGGCGCGGTGATGGCACAGGCAGCTGGCGACCTTGCAGCTGACACCGCTGGCGACGGTTTGGAGCCAGCGGAGGGAGTCGAAAGAATCTAGCCGAGGGTGACAGGCACTGAGGACGACACGGGCGAGACTGTTGCTTGATGAAGATTGACAATGATGGAGATGCAATGGTTGGGACGAGACCCGACTGTGCTGCAGGTGAAGGTGTTTGCAACTTCGGTGATGGCGAGTGGTTATAGATGACGTGGGCCCGGAGGTGGTAGTTGCAAGATGTGACGATGTGGTTGGTGCAGCTGTCAAATGGATAAGGTGGAATCGAGAGTGATGCAGAGGAACTTTACACAATCGGGGAAATGGATGGTGGAGGCAGCGTTTAATATTCTTGAAGACAGTGTGGATGTAGTGAGTGGCTGTCTGGTGCCCATGAGGATAGCTTCGGATTTGGAAGCATTCAAGGAGAGGTCATGGACCCAGAACCACTGCTGCAAGGCGGCGGTGCCCTCTAAGAGCCTCTCAAGTACAGGGGTGGTGGTGAAGATGGTGGTGGAGGTCATGGTGGCAGTAGAAGGGATCAGTGTTAGTCGTAGCGATGGTGGTGATGGAGGTGATGTAGGTCGTGATTGTCGTCGTGGAAGGGATGGTGGTGGTAGAAGGGATGGAAGTCGTGGTGGTAGTCATCACTGTGTGTGTGTCTTCATAAGGATACACAAAATATAAATCGCTTTCACCAAAATAGAAAATCAGACCCAGGCATTCTTCCAAGGCTGAACAAAATATCCAAAACTCAAAAAGGTACAAACAAGCGCAACATGGTCAGGGGCGGAGCCAGGATTTCAGGCCGGGGTGACATTCAACAAATTATAATTTCAAGAATGATTAGAGAGTCAGGCTGTTGAACTAGACGCCCTCGGTTGGCGACACACTCTGACAATGCAGTTGCAAGGAGTCCGCCAGACCGAGTGTCGTACACTTACACGCAGAATGTCACTCCTGTCACCCCCCCCCCCCTGGCTCCGCCCCTGAACATGGTGCTGATTTCTAGGCATCGATTCATAACTAAAATGGATTAGGTCTTCTTCATCCTACAGATACATAGGAAATCTAATCAGAATCCTGCATTGTGGCGATTCATTGGATAACATGTGGGACATCTCATCCCATCTCTGCGTATTCTTATTGGTAATCCTGAGCCAGAAGGGCAAATTACACATGACAACATTCTGGGGGGGGGGAGGGGGCAGTTATTTTTGGACAACCACAGCTGACTTTTCACAATGTAGTACAACATTTTATCCAATCCAGAGGAATGATTGTGATGAGCCGAGTTGACCCCTGACCCAGTTTTCAAATTACAACTCCTGACCGAGTTGATTGCTCCAGCTGTAAGAATGCCACCCAGCTGGATTTGTGTGTGTAGAGGAGCCTCACGATCGACGCTACTGGGCAGCTGGTGATAGCTGCCCTCCAGCAACAACATCCCACAGCCTGAGCAGCAACAGGACAAAGTTCAAGCGTTGGCCTTTAAGCAAAAATGTCACGGGTTTGTTTTTCCACATGAGCCATCAATGCTGCGAGCATTTTTGGGCACGCGTGTCAAGTTTGCTCATCAGTTGAAGATATCTTGTCAGACGGACACAACTGGAAAACACAGTCGAATGTACAACCTCGGGCAGTTATTGAAGGTGGACTTGGATCAAAAATGATCAAATAATAAGGGAGACAAGAGCAGGTTGGAGTGCTTTTGGATAAACTTAAACGAAAAACAAGAAGAAACATACCAATGCACCTCAAGAAGAACTTGTTTATTTCAATGTGTACTACGTGGTATGACATGGGAACGAACAGAACAGATGGACAATGAATAGGGAAATCAAACAATCGTGGAAATGTGAATTGCACTGCGAGAGACCAACAGTGAAACACGTGGATGAGACAACATGCACAAGAGATGCATCATATTGACCATTAAGAAAAGCAATTGGGCTTTGGAAGAATATTTTCGCTAGGAGGAACGTTGGCCGGTTGTAGAGACTATCGACGCTGTCGCAGCGAAAGGAGGAAACGCCCCCAAAGTCTCGTCCACTGTTGGAATGGAGTATGTATGGTAAACTTCTTTCACACCATGCGTAGCCAACCGTGCTAATCGTAGGCGCAGGGGAAAGAAAAACAAACTAAACACAAAGAGCAGTTTGTCTGGTTTGCAGGAACTAGATGCAATGTTGCATTGCAAGACTGCGAGAGACGTCAATGGCTTAGGGAGGCCTTCGTCCATCAGTGGCTAGATGTTGGCTGATGATGATGATGTTTCAAGTGATATTTATTACCGTGCGAATATTTCGTTTGATAGAAATGCCATCCGTAATGCCGCATGTCTGATCTCTGTTATGGCAGCTACACTTGAGGGCCACATCAAGCGATGGGCAAATTTCGCATTCCCTCTGGATCGCTGTCACCGTCACGGATCAGAACGACAATGCCCCTCGCTTCGTCTGGCAGGACATCACGGCACACGTGTTGCTCAGCGCCGCCCCTGGTGAGCCTCTCAGACCAATGTCAGAGGCCCCGCCACAACACTGCCCAGCCGAGATTATTTTAAACCAACTGGTACCAGCGGTGTCAGTGTGTGGAAGAGGAGGCTCGCAGATTATGCTTCTGGGCAGATGAGATGGAACACACGAGAGTGTGCAAACAAAAAAATGTGTCATGGTTTAATTGAGTAGTGACATCAAATTGGGACAATGTACAATGGTCATTTTGGTTTACAATGGCGTTAATATGTGATCGCATCTCAAGACGCTATCCTGAATCAGTGGGCAAATGTACGTAGACAGAGGCATTCAGTTGTGGACTTTAACAGGGGCAGGGAGTCGACAGCACAGATAGCTTGGGGAAAGGAATTCCAGACAAAGGGGACAGCAGTGGAAAATGAACGACCTCTTTTTAAGCGAAGGCTGACTGATGGCTTTGATGTATGATCGTGGTTGCTGAAGCAAAAAGTGCATGGAGGAGAGTAGAGTGAGATGAGAGGGGGCAGTTAGGCCATGGAGGATCTTGAAGATGGTGAGCATGACCTTGATAGTGATTCGAGATCGCATTGGGAACGTGTGAAAAGATTGGAGCATTGGGGTGATGTGATCACATTTGTATGTGCGTTGAACTTCTTTCGCACCGTAGGTAGTCAACCGTGCTAATCAGAGGTGCGAATGTGGGTAAGAAGTCTGGCAGTGGCATTTTGAATCAACTAGAGTTAGGACGTGAGGGATTTGAGGAAGCCATAGAGGAGATAGTTGCAATAGTTGAGTAGGGATGTGATGAAGACATGGATGAGGGCAGCACCTAGGCTGAGAAAATGGTGGATGTGAGAAATATTTGGAGTTTGGGGGGGTGGTGGTGGTTGGTGGGGGGGGGGGGGGGGTTAAATCAATACATGCTCTGATTGGCAGCAAAATGTTGTTATTATGAACTAAATTATGTATTATTTTAGCAGGTAAGGCCCACTGAGCTATATAGCTCATTTTCAGAAGCGACCTGACTACAAATGATAACTCAACGAAGTGGCTTATCGCGTGGAAATTGATAACAGATGAATACTCTAAACGCACATTGATTCTAAATGTGGAGGGAAAAACCGGAGGACCCGGAGAAAAATTCACATGAACCATGAGGAGAGAGAACAAATATAAAGCAGGCGTCAGGGGGGATCAGGACCGAACCCACGATCTCCTGTATACCAGGTGAGGCAGTTGACATCTCGCCACCGCGTTGTTGTTGTTGTTGTGTGTGCGGCAGGGACGTTGGTGGCAGTGGTGCAGGCGGAGGACGCGGATGACCAGGAGACGCTGTACGGGCAGGTGTCCCACACGCTCACGGCGCAGAGACCCGGCTCCCCCGCCGCGCGCATCTTCACCGTCAACGACACCACGGGCGCCATCCACACGCACCGCACGCTGCCCAAAACGGTGAGCACGCGCGAGCAGTGTGACCCCGTCACGCTGCTCGTCCACCGTCGTCCTCACCATTGTCCAATAACTGCGGCGAGATGTTAACCACCTTGCCTGGTATACAGGAGGTCGTGGGTTCAATCCCGACCCTGACGCCTGTATATTCGGAGTTTGCGTGTTCTCCCCGCGGTCGCGTAGATCTTTATCCAGGTCCTCCGCTTATTTCATCCACATTTAGAAACATGCGTTTACACTATTTGGCTGTTATACATTTCCACATGATAAGCCACTTCAGTGTTACTTCTAAAAAAGAATTATATAGCACAGTGGGTCTTACCTGGTAAAATAAAAATAATTTAGTTGAATTTCGATTTAAAGCTTTCGTGACTGCAAGGATTCATCTTCTTTGGTTCTTTCGGTAAAGTCACGTAGAATGAAAATAAAATAATAAAATAAAACAATAAAATTCTCACGACGTTTCGGCCACAACACAAGTAGCCTTCTTCAGGTGAAGGAGAAGAAGGCTACTTGTGTTGTGGCCGAAACGTCGTGCGAATTTTATTGTTTTATTTTATTATTTTATTCTCATTCTACGTGACTTTACCGAAAGAACCAAAGAAGATAGTTGAGTTTAAATCATCACCATTGCCACATTTGGTGCTTGCACCATTCATGTAGCGCAATGCTTTCGCGAAGGTGCTACGTTTCACAGGCATAGTGAGCAATAAACCATTACGCAATTTCCGGTCATCCTTGCAGCAGCGGCTTCTAGATAATTATCGAAGAACGATGGTCACTGCATCGCGCACTTTCAGTTGAGCTTATGCCACCATCTGAAACCCTCTTCCGATATTATCAAAATATTTATTCGTACTGGAGGAATCCGATGAGCTATAAAGCTCTTTTTCAGAGATGTTCATAAGGAAGCCACTAGAGCTATGCACTTTTAAATCTAGATTGAAAACTAATTTCTTTAGAACCGCTTTTGTGTTTAACTAATTGTCCTTCCCCCGCACCTCCGATTAGCATGGTTGGCTATGTACGGTGCGAAGGAAGTTCAACATACGTACATATGTGGTGTTCTTCACGGAGGCGCACACTTGAACTTGGAGGCAACACCTTTATTACACGGCTCCAACAGAGCTACTACATGAACGTACACAAGTTAACTAGACCCCCAACGGGGTAACTACATAACCGGGTCAGTCAGTGACACTCTGATTGACCCACGATGCCGAGCGAAGACCGAAGATCGAGGAGGCGTAGCAGGGCGGGTTGATTCCAGAAGACAGACCACGAGTGCCCTCGGGACTTCCCTTTTATGCTCCCGAGCGTGGCCTCGCTCCGCCTTCGGCCACGCCCCCTTCTGGATCTCACCAGAAGGGGGCGTGGCCTCGCCCCCTTCTGCATCTCACCAGAAGGTTCTCGAACGAACACCACGTGTCCCTCAAGCCACCCTTCGGGCCTTCTCGGGTTCACCCAGGCTGTCACGTCCTCACTTGCCCTTCCTCTGACCGTCGCCAGAGCTTTGCCCCCTCGGGCCCGTTTCCATGGCACACCCACTCCGGTGCCAGAGAGAGGTTCAAGACTCACAGTTCCACTCTTGTGACAGTAGCTGGCGCTAAACGCCATTGTGACTCCATTTACGTCACTAGACATACATAGTCTGCAGTGGTTTCACAGTAGGGGGAGAGACGATTGCTATGTGTTTTCCCGTACGAGTAAGATGCGGGTAATATTGAATATTTTAGACTGTGAAACCACCACACATGGCCTACTCTTCTTTGATTCACCTCCCTGGGATCGTTAACATCCACTGTGTTGCAGACGGTGTGTATGTATGGTTAATGCACCCACAGTATTAACAAGGGTGGCCAGGGGGCTTAAACCGCAAACCTCTAGTATAGGCAGGAAACATGCTGCCGCATAGCCATGTTGTCATCCATCACCGCTGCATTAATCATAATGATCCATCATAATAATCCAATGCTGCTGGCCCTGGTATGTCATTCTGACTTCAGATCCGATTAACAGAACGTTCCCCAACACTCTATGTAGGCTATATTGGGATCTTTTTTAGTGTACGTGTGTGTTTGTGTACAAATCTAAAGTCTGCATCTTCCAGCTCCCCTTCATGTATTCACTGTCACGCTCTTCTCATATCAGTGAAATACTCCAATAATAAATTACAGCCCATTATCAATCCAGAGCTGAATGAAGGCCTCCACATTCCGTGATGGTCATGGTGTTTGTTTAGCCATACTTCACCACACTGGTCAGTGCGGATTGGGGAAGGGAGAGACCTAAAACAAGGTTCTGATATCACTCACCCCAAATGCTAGCCAAGGCCAGGATTCTAAATCCGGTCGCCAAATTCATAGCTCAAGGCACTAACTTCTGTATCGCGACTCCACCCCGAGATGCTCTTCCAGGTTGAGTTATTTCACTGGTGGTTGTAATGAACTGGGAAGAGCTTCACGACAGGGCTGCCACGCCCATGTTTTCTCGTAGGATGACGGCGTGTTCGTGCTGGAGGTGACGGCTCGAGATTGCGGAGGAGCGGCGTTTGGGCGGTCGGACAAAGCCATCGTGACGGTCATCATTGCTGACAGCATCAGCACCGCCGCCGACACCTTTAGCACAACCGCGTCTCAGCCGCGCGTACCTGTAAGTGTCACCCGCGTGATGGGCAGTAACTCCACCAGCTTCAGAAGACACCTTCAGACACCTTGGGGTACCACGGTGGCGAGATGTTAACTACCTCGCCTGGTATACAGGAGGCTCGATCCCAACCTTGTCGCCTATATATTTGGAGTTTCATGTTCTGCCTGTGGTCGCGTGGATTTTTATCTGGGTCCTCCGGTTTTTCCCTCCACATTTCGAAAATGCGTTTAGAGTATTTGGCGGCCAGGTAGCTTTGAAAAAAGAGTGATCTAGCTAAGTGGGCCTTAGCTATATAGCTCTTGTTATTTTGACATCTCATGTACCACCATCGGCAGTACCAGAAACACACAACCTCCACCGCTGCGGCAGAGATGCCGAGCGTGCAGGCCGTGCAACTGGCACAGGAGCCCACGAGCCGGAGGGCCTCAGGTTTCAGTTTTCATTTCAGTTTCATTTATTTGGTATGGCCCCGTGAGCCATTCGGCTCTTGAATCGGGTGCAACCGCAACAAACAAAACATGAACAACAAAAAGTGACTACACGCAAACAGAAAAATCCAAGAAAAAACAGCAAAGTCTTCCAGAAAAGCAGTGATCATAGGAGACAGGAGACAGGGGGGACATTGGATAGGGGCCCGCTTCAGTGTGTTGCACCAGGGCCCATGCCAGTCCATTGATCCATCACCACCTCCAGGGACTACCAAAGATCCTCCGTTTTGCTTTAACCAGACTGTTGGGGAAAGCGCTGTTAGCCAGCACCTATGAAGGCTAGCTTGGCACATGAGGGGTTAGTCGGCCAGCACCACACCCGGCCGCCTATGTTTCTCGAGTGGAGATGTTTACACATTGCACCAGGTACTCATCTGAGGCTGAGTTGACCTAGGGGAGGCCCAGGACCAGTTCAGTTATTCATCACCGGTGTTGACCGTGAGGGGGAATAAAACTTGGGTCACCGGGTTCGTAGCACGGTGCGCTAACCGTTACACAACTGCTCCCCACAAGGACTACCTACACCACCACCTACATCATTCGCACAGCATCACCTGCAGACACTCTTTAATCACGATCCTTAGCACTGCCTATTACAAGACACAACATAAACTTCCTACATCGGTGCCTGTACCTTGACCTCCAAAATCACTGTCATCTACTGTAGAGCATCACCTCCATCATCAACATCAGCATCACTTGTAGCAATACCTACACCACTTCGAGTAATCTACTACCAACAATTACTTATACTAACAGCATTGTTATCTCTGTGTACATGTACGTACGTGAAGGCGTGGTATTGCACTGGCCTGCGCACACTGGCGGAGCCAGTGGGGGCGGGGGGGGGTGGCACGTGCCCCCCCAATGATCTGATCGAAATCCCTAATTTCGATCGGATCATTGGGGTTCATTAGTAATAAATCGGCATTTTGCGACCCCCACTGCCACTGTGTAACATATTATTACGTGCCAGGGACTCTATGAGATGATAGGACAATAGTCTGAGTCCATAATTCGGAATAAGTAACAGCAAAGCAGTTATACGTGACTCAGAATTGTGTGCAGTTGCGTATACAGGACACGACTTCCCTGAAGGCATCAACACCTTCAGCGAGCGCGATGCCGATCACACAACGCGGTTCGAATTCGACCCTCGATCGATGGCTGCGCGCCATCGCCGCACACGTGTCGAATAAAAATCAAGGGACAAGTCCTTACTCGCTAACAACTCCTCTTTCATTGTTCATTGCTGGAGGGGTTGCCCCCCCTACCTGAAAATCCTGGCTCCGCCATTGCCTACGCACCATGCTACGAACATGTTGATCTAAATTTGATTCCTGACCACAGGTCACGTATAAGTAGCACAAAGTATCTGAACTTTTTTGGGGGGCTTTCCCTAGATTAACGCAGCATCAAATGAGTACCTGTGTAAACATCAACGAAGAAAGATATTATTCCGGACACACCGCTTCCTTAATCGCCATGCTGGCCGAATTGGATACCTGCAAACAGCACTTGCCCTAGCAGGCTATATTTGGCTATTTAGTGTGCTTGCCACACTGGCTCATTGTGCATCATTGGTGGTAGGTTGGTGCAACGGTAACCTGTGCCTCGGAGCAAGAAGGCCCTGGGTTCGATTCTTGACTCGGGCGCCTTTCTCCGCGGCGTTTTATGTTCTCCCCCTGTTCTGCGTGGGTTTCCTCTGGGTCCTCCGGCTTCCTCTCGTAGCTCAAAAGAACGCAACGCAACTGGTATTGGCCAAAATATTCCAATTCCGAAAAATGCCCTGCAAATTGCTCGGTTGAGATTATGCGTAGCAGCATCGTCCCCTGCTGCGCAGACGTTTGGCAGGAACCTCCTCAAAAAGAGTGTTGATAGATTCAGCGACGCTTTCCTAACAAAACAAGCATAATGGTCGATAATAATAATAAGTAAATGGCATTGCATGAGGCAGACGTGCTGATGAGCTGAGCATCTGCAGGAACCGGAAGAGGATGAGTCCATGGTGCTACTCGGCGTACAGGAGCCAAGTGACCTGAAGGCACTGGGCGGAGGGATCGGATGTCCAGTCTTCTCTCTGGACGCCATCAACGTGGAGATGCCCGAGGAGCTACCTCCAGGACAAAAACTACTCACCGTCCGCACGGCCGAGAATATTCGGATCAATGAGCTCAGGTTGGCTGTGAGGGGGGTTATCTGTGGGTGCTGTGTGTTGTGTACCGTGTGCGTGTACGTGTGTGTGTTCATGACCTGGGAGTGGTTGTGTTGTGGTTAGTACGCTGCGGTCCGAGATCGATTCTCGCTGATGACCAACACCGGTGACAATTATCTGAACCAGTCCTGAGTCTCCCCTAGGTCGACTTAGCCTCAATTAAGTATCTAGTACGATGTGTAAAAATATTTCCATGAGGGAGACAAAGGCGGCCAGGCGTGGTGATGGCCACCCACCCCCTCGTGTGCCGTTCTGGCTTTCATAGGTGCTTGCTAACAGTACTTGAGGCGATACGGGGGATCTTTGTCTTTGTTTTGTGTGTGTTTATGACTGGTGAGCGGTAGTGTAGCGGATAGCGCGCTACACTGCGAACCTGGCGGCTCGAGATGGATTCCCGCTCACGGCTAACACCAGTAACGGTAATCTGAACGGGTCCTGGACCTCCCCTAAGTCCATTCAACCTTAAATGAGTATCTGGTGCAAAGTGTAAAGCTCAGTAATGGGAAAACAAAGGCAACCGGATGTGGGCCTTGCCCCACCTCCCCCCTCGTGATAGATGCTCACGAACAGCACTTGCCCCGACAATCTGTGTGCGCTATATGGAGGATCTTTGCGCGAGTTGGGGTTTGATTTCCGACCATACGCATCATTCGCAGTTGTTACAACATCACCAGAGATGCGCCTGATCTCGTCAGATCTCGGAAGCTAAGCGAATTAGAGCCTGGATAGTGCTTTGATGGGTGACCACCATGCACCAACAGGTTGGCATCGGCTGCAGGGCCATGTGGTGGTCAGGAGAGAGCAATGCAGTAGAGTACTGGCAATTATTGTACTGTACTTCGAAACTCCTACGTCTATGCCCCCTGTCTTTACCAACCTTCACTGACCAGCATGGTGATTTATGGTCAAATGACCTTCCCCCTAAGGCTTATGTGGCATGGGTAGGCCCTCATCCAGCCGTGGACTGGCGGTTTGACACAAAGTAGACAGTGTCATCTCAAAATTGTTATGTTTTTTTTTACCTAGGAGGACTTCAATGAGTCTCATGACTCCTTTCCAGGAGGGGTTGTGCCAAGTCTTCTTTTTTTATAATCGGGGGCAATGTTGCTATGTGGAAACCCAATTGAGGAATTTGCAGGTAATTTTTGGCCAATATCTGCTGCTTTTTTACGGGGTGTTGCTTTTTTGTACCTGTGGGAGGAAACCAGAGGACACAGACGATCAACCTGGACTTTTGCAAACGTCCCTCTTGTCATCCTTACAGGGGACACGCTCCCTATAAGGATGACTGCTGAGTCTACTCTCACCCTCCTGAGCTGCTTTCAGGCTTTCAATCAACATTACACAATGGATATGCATATTCTGCGTCTACCTCAGTCACAGGATCATGTCCGCTCTGCAGCCCTTCTGTCAATAAACAGCAAGGCCTAATCCATAATCCATATTTCATCACATCCATCACCACAACCGTACCATACGTTAAAAAAGAACAATCGTACCATAGTCATATGTGAGATATGTCAAGCATGACCAATGATGTGTTCGTCCTTATTGTCCTTCCACCGCACCTCTGATTAGCACAGTTGTTTGCGTACGGTGTGAAAGAAGTTCAACATACATACTTACATGATAGATTATTACAAAGGGCCCCCTTAGGTTAACTTATCCATCAATGAGTACCTATCAGTACTAGTGTAGACAATATTGGCTGGACATGGTTGTGGACACACTGCCATGCCATCCTTGATCAGTGTTCTCTTGACAGCATTTGCCCCTGCAGAGTAAAATGAAAATGAAGGAGTCATGTTGGCCATTGATGTTGAAAGCACTGATAACAATGTTTAGTTTGATATTGGTGGCAATAGTGATGACAGGTTGATGAGGTTGATTATCATATTTCTGACGTTGATAAATAATCGAAATTGTTTGTAATGAAAACGTTGAATGATAAAATTATTTCATGGAGCAGTGGCGCTGTTGTGTTGTGCATCGTCCAATGAACCCAGAACCTTGAGTTATATGTCCAACCACGGAAAACATCAGCGGGTCGGTGCGGTACAAAACAGGACCCATTTCATCACTGTCTCACAAGTCATTGCTGTTATTACATTAGGGGTGCCACGTTGGCGAGATGTTAACTAACCTCACCTGGTATAGAGATGGTGGGTTCAATCGCAACCCTGACGCCTGCTGTATATGTGGAGTTTGCATGTCTCCCTCCCGATGGTCGCGTGGATCATTCTGCGGGTTCTCCGGTTTTTCCCTCCACGTTCAAAATGAACATCACGCATTTTGAGAATTTGGCTGCTATACATTTCCACAGGATAAGCCACGTCGCTGATCAATCATTCATGGACAAGTCACTTCTAAAAAAAAAAGAGCCATGTAGCTCAGTGGGCCTTACCTGGTAAAATAAAATAAAAACATTCAGGTGGATTTACCCTTGTAATGATGACGACGACGATAATGATGATGACGACGATAATGATGACGACGATGACATCCTCTCAACAGGCTGGAGGGAGACCGCGCGGGCTGGCTCAGCGTGGACGCTGCGACGGGCGAGGTGGCGACGTGCGCATCGCTGGACCGCGAGTCTCCCCACGTCATCAACGACACCTACCTCGTCGCCATCGTCGCCGTCACGCACGGTCGGGACGGCGCTGCGAGGGACCGAACCGCTCGCGCGATGCATTCACAACCGATGACACACGGCGGTACTGTACAACGCAATGCACTGCAATGCACTGCAATGCAACGCAATACAATGCATTGTGATGCAGTGCGCCGCGATGCAGTGTGCCGCAATGACAAATACAATAGAGAAAAGGCAATCGCAAAATAATTAAGCAAACGCAGTGTTCCTCAACCTGAACTGAATGTGTAATTTATTCCACGCGGATAACCGCATGCCAACTCTAGATCTCTGCTCTGTCCGCGCATGGCAACTCGAAGCCTTTCCCCGTGCATCACCTCCTGTCCCGGCTCTCTCTCCCTTCTTACAAGCCCTCGTGGGAGCGGGCACTGCCTCTCCTCATGCTGTGGTGATCACCGCCTCTTCAAGCGCTCCCATCAGTCGCGACACGTGCAACACAGCGCAACACAGTGTAACACAGTGCAACACAGCGTGTCGCGACGCGGCGAGATTTAAGGCCTTCATTCGTCGGCGGATCGGTCGTGGCTCACGACGAGTGATGCATGTGGTGGGGTGCAGGTGCTTGCACGGCTTCGGTGGCGCTGCTGCTGCGGCTGGAGGATGTGAATGACCACGCCCCCCAGCCATCTCCTCCGCTCCTGCTGCTCTGCCAGGTGCTCGCCTACGGCGACGCCACGCTGTCGGCCACGGACGCGGACGGCCCCAGCAACGGGGCGCCCTTCACCTTCCATGTCCTCCCCACTAATGCCCACAGTGGTGGCGATGGCTGGACGGTCGCTCAGCCAAATGGTAACGTTCGCACCGCCTCGCATAGTTGGCAGTGATCGTCATTTCTGTCGCCTCTTTGACACTTATTTTTATTTTCGTTTTTTTTCCCCATGATTCTACCTGCACATGGCCAGCGGGTAGTGCTTTCGGAGTGCCGGGTGTGCGCGATGTTGACTCCCTCGCCTAGAACTCAGGAGGCTGTGGTTTCAATCCCGACCCCAAACACCTGCTGTATATTTGGAGTTTGCATGTCTCTCTCCTTGCGGTTGTGTGGATTTTTCTCTGGGTCCTCCGGTTTTCCCTTCCCACATTTGTAAACATCCGTTTAGAGTATTTGGGTGCTGTGAATTGCTAAACGATGATCCACTTCGTTGAGCTATCATTTGTGGCTGGGTCGCTGATAAAAAAAATAAGCTAATAATAGCGGAGGAGCAAAACCGGAGGACCCGCAGAAAAATCCACGCGACCACGGGGAGAGAGAGAACACGCAAACTCCAAATATACAGCAGGCGTCGAGGATCGCGGATCGAACCCACACGACCTCCTGCATTCCAGGCGAGGCAGTCAACATCTCACAACCCAGTGGTGCCCCACAATAAATAACACTGTGCAACACGATTGTCGTTCCTGGGTAGTAAGTGTTATTTTCTAATTGCTTATGCCTCAAAAGTACAGAAAATGGCTATTATTATTCCCCACAAACTTTGCTTTTGTGGCCAGGACTTTACGTGAACGAAACACACGAATGCACACCGCGTTTTCTCATTGAAAATATGTAAATTTCAAAATATCACTCTCCTGCTCACGAAAGCAACGCTTGTGAGCGAATAATAGCCATTCTCTCTACCTGTGAGGCATAAGCAATTCGGAAGATAACACTTACTACCCAGGAACAACAACAACAACAACAACAACAAAATATTTTTGTTTTGTTTACGCAGTTGTTATAATAAACCCCCTCCGAACGGAGAGGGCCCTCGCTCGCTCACGCCCGCCGCGGCCGCCGCCGCCGCGCCTCTCGCTCGACCTGCAGGCTCCATGGCCGTGCTGGTGCCCCGCGTGCCGCGACTCAGCCTGGGCGAGCGCTCGCTGCCCGTGTCCGTGTGCGACCGCCGCGGTCTCTGCCGCCGGACGAGCGTGTCCGTCGTCGTGCGCGCGTGCAACAACCCCGCCGCCGCCGCCGCCGCCGCCGCCTCCTCCTCCTCCGCCGTCGTTCTGCCCCTCGTGCTGGGCCTCTCAGCCATCGTAGGCAAGTTTATCCCCCCCCCCACCACCACCACCACCACCCCCGGCTCACGCAGCACAAACCATGGGTTGCCACGTGTCCCCGTTTTCCCCAGGATCGTCATCGTTTTTTTTAGAAAGCTGTAGGAGTACAATTATTTTTTAAATATATTTTTGGAAAGATTATAAGAGTCACTTATTTACCCCCCCCCCCCCCCCCTCCACCACCAATCTGCTTTTTAAATAAAATGTTGTAGGTGCATCTTGTAATTCAGCAGATGTGTGTGTGTGTGTGTGTGAAATTGGGAGAGACCAGAATCGTTTAACTTCATTTGACACCGGGCCCACGTTTTTTTAGGGCGTTTTACTTTCTGTAATCCTGAGAATCCTGTAAGCCTTGCCGGGATGATAAAGGTTAAGTTTGTTGTCAGTTACATAATAACACACAACTCAAGACAATACATGTGCAAATAGGTCTCCCTTTGGCCGGTATCCTGAGATATTATTCCTCCTGTGATACATCCCGGTTATTTTGCACCTTCAAGATTGCAACCCCAGCAGCACCGCATGCTTCACAACCAGCAACATACTGTCATGGCTCACCGGGTGCCCGAATTTCATATGCTCGGATTGCAGTCGCACAAATAAAGCGAGTAGCGGTGATGGCGCAGCCTGGCAATTGCGTAGGCTCACACCGCTGCCAGTAGAAGGGCCTCCCGTAGTGGGAGCCTTAATAGAGCCCTTCTAAAACGCATTTGGCCTACCCTTCCACACTGGTCAGATGTCTCAGAAGAGGTGGGTTCATCCGAACTCTATCCAGTCACACCTGACCCGCCAATCAACTGGTGTACCCATTTAAACTGCTGGGTGGAGGGATTTAAGAAACGTGATTTTGTTTGTGTTACCGTGGCAGCTAGGGTTGCCAACTCTGACTGAAGCTATTCCAAGAGATTTTTGTTTGATTCATTTATTTTCTTCAAATATACAATAAAACAAATCTCCCAGATTACTTTCAATGGTCACCGGGAGATCGATGTCAGTTCCTGCAGAGACTCTAGGAAAATTCAGGGAGGGTTGGCAACGCTAGACCGGCAGCCCTAATCGGTACGCACACACACACACACATACTGGCATGTGAATAATTGAAGAGCTCGTCACACTGAGAGCACCTGCCACCGGTGACTAAATTCACTCTGCGGTTCTGTCCCTGCAGCCCTGGCGATCGCCCTCGTGTGCTGTGCTCGCATCAGAGCTCGATCCAAGTCGACAGGGATCTGACTTCTGCTGCAAGGACGCTCACAATCGGCTTGGCTCGTCGCTCCTGCTCGCACTGTTACTCACAATTACATAAACCAGCAATGGCCACAATGCTCGGCAAATCATTGCCCCTTACTGTGAAAAGTTGGCAGGGCCCTCCTGAAAAAGAGCCATAGCACTGACAAGTAAGTCAGTAAGGCTTTCCTGGGGACAAAAAAAACGAATTTTTATGTCACCAGGTAAGGGCCAGCGAGCTATATATAGCTCTTTTCAGAAGCGACCTGGCCACAAATGATAGTTCAACAAAGTAGCCTACATATACCGCAACCGAATACTCTAAACAAGTGTGATCACACTCACCGATACGCCAGGAGTGCCGCAGCGACGGTATGTTAACTCCCTCGCCTGGTATGCAGGAGGTCGTGGGTTCGATCCTGACACTGACACCTGCTGTATATTTGGGGATTGCAAGTTCTCCCCATGGTCGTGTGGATTTTCCTCCGGGCCCTCCGGTTTTTCCCTCCAAATTTGCTAACATGCTTTTAAAGTGTTTGGCTGCGATGAATGTCTACGTGATAAGCCACTTCGTTGAGCTATCATTTGTGGCCAGGTCTCTTCTGAAAAATATCTATATAGCTCAGTGGGCCTTGCCTGGTAAAATAAAACATTGTCAAAAAAAATCAATGCTCACACAGCACTCGCATTAACCAATACTACCATGAACAAAACACACAAACATTAACCAATGCTAACTCATATGATAAACATGACAGTAATATTAACCCAAAGTTACTTCCATACACACCACTAACCACTGTCATAAACCCCAATGAGAAAAAAACGCAACACATTCATCAATAACAATGCCTGAGAATGACATGTATATAAGAGGTGACGTTTTGGGTAATGGCCTTTCTTCATAGCCCATTGTGTACCACTACCAATGCAGTATCACCACGTGATTTGTACAATGAACAAAACACAGTAACCAATACTAACGACCATGGACACAACTAACCCTTACCATAACGTTAACACTCGCATGACATAGAAAATTCTCAATTCACCTGTGCAATTACATTTCCCTTAACCCTAACCCTAATGCATTAACCTCAGCCAAACGAAACTTTGACTTTCACACATTAACCGCTCACCATCCTTCGCCCATAAACACAACACTATTGTTGACCCTCTCACACGGTAACGTATCAGGATGCATTTTTGCACATTGTTTATAGTTTTCGGATTGTTCATCATTATTCATCATTAGCACAACAAGACAACACATGCTCTGGAGGACATGGGAGCGATGCCTTCTGTAAGTGTTTTAGAAATAACTACATGATTGGTAAAAAGAAACAAAAATTATCTGAGACCCGTCAACTTCTTGAAATCATTTTGGGACGGGACAATGTGGTGATGGGAGTTGATCAGTTAGGCCTGGGGTTCGTGCACTGCACTAGAAACCGGGCTATACCCGAGTTCAATTCCTGGCCACTGCTATCAGTGGGGGTGATGTCTGAATCAGCCCAGGGTGGACCCCCATGATCATTCTGCATGAACCAGCGTGATGAAGTATGGTCATACCCTGCACGAGTGACACGGCGTGTGGAGGCCTTTGTCCAGCAGTGGACTGACAATGCACAGTACATTATATTTGTGTTAATGTGTTGATGATATTAAATAATCCTTGTCTTAAGTAACTCACTGTATTCAATGGTTGCTAATATTTGAGACTTTTAAAAAAATATATTAGCACGGTTGGCTAAGTACGGTGAAAAAGAAGTTCAACATACATGCGTACGTTATAACAATTGATAAGACTGACCATAGCTCGTACCAAAAATCATTACGGTAGTACAATCCTGAAGCAAGGAGTCAATCAGGCAATACTGTCTGAAACCCAATATAACTGTGAGGAACACACTTTTGAACCACGCATGTGAAGGATTGAGTGCTCGTTATCGTTGCTAAACTGAATGAAACCAATCACTGTATAGCATTTAAGAATTTAGATTAAAACGTACCAAAACCAAAAGGAATTGCATAAACCCCCTTTCACGAAAAAAAATCTATATTTTTTTATCGTCACCAATGACCATCAATGGAAGCAATATAGTAGGATCATACAATACTTAAATTGTACAAGACAGTATTACCATAAAAGTGTAACGGGCGCACAATTACCAAGGCAGGTAGTATGGCTAACAACAACTTCCCGATGGTCCGTAATAAAGACGATACTTCTATCCAATTGCCATATGTGATTGATGGGGCCCTTTGCACGAACGATACCATTTGAAATTAAACTCGTGTTCAGGTGCCTTACAGACTAGCATGATGACATTGAACTGGTGCACTTAATAATGGACACCAACTACAGTGATCTTCTCTTATCCGTGTTGATGTGGGGTTGATATTGGTGGATCCTTATATCTGCAAAAATAAATCGTGATATCTATCCAGCTACCTACACACTGACACTGTAATGGGATTCGTTTGCTGTGCTTTTTTCTCAATACCATAGCATACAAACATATTTAAACAACCATTATTTTCAGCCAGGTGAAAACTCATTTAAACTAAAAGTCGGCTTTCCATAGGGGGTCTGTGCTTCACAGTACGAGAAAAGGGACAGCTCCTAGACGTGATGTAGGAACTAGACGTCATTGTCCAAGAAGCGGGATAGGCACTGGAACAGATTTGTGGACTTTTAATGAAATATTTACCCTGAAAATAATTTGATATTTTATTTTAATTCAGATCATCCGACATGTCCATAATCAATACCAATTTTGGAATTAAAAAAATCAGGACATCATTTCTAATACACACCTGATTAGCACGGTTGGCTACGTACTGTGCATAATAAGTTCACAGTACGCACGACTCAATGCACGGCTTTGCGAGCTTTATAATAGGTGTTTACTGAGATCGATTGACGCATTGGTTCTCAAGGTTTCTGGACTCACATGCTGCTGTCACCCCTCCACAAAAATGGCACGGACCACCATGCACCAGGCAGGTATTAATAAGAAATGAAAACAACTCTAATTCTGCAACAATTCTGCAGGGCTACTTCCCCACTGCCTTGTGGACGACCACATATACAAACACAGAGACAATTTCAACCGTTCATGAGGCTATCCACATATACAAACACAGAGACAATTTCAACCGAGAAGATGGATTCTGGCTTAGCAATCATTGGAAGGATTTGATAAACCATTTCGGGTCTTAATTGATTGTTCACGCTTACGGTGGCTTTCAGACCGCATCCATTATTTTCGTCTCCCCCCTCCTCTTTTCCGAACATAGATGGACTCGTCCATCTGAATAACTGCCAAATCGCTCTCCGTGGTGCTAACGTTAAAAAAACGCCACTTTTTTCAAATTTTCTTGCTGTGGTTTTCACACCTGATGATGATTGCTTGTGTTGCAGTCGAAACGTCGTGAGAATTTTATTGTTTTATATTTTTATTATGTTATTGTTTCCCTTCTACGTGACTTTACCGAAAAAAAACAAGAATATGACGACCAAGTAGTTTGTGGACCAGATGTTGGTAACCGAATGATTCGTTGATTAATATACGCTACACAATGGGGCCGTACAAAAATAGTGTCACGCACCTCGGGGGGGGGGGGGGGTCAGACATTTGTGACGATGTGTGACGAGGGGGGGGGGGGGTTTGAGGAATGTGACGTCACATCAAAATTCGCAACTTTAAATAAATATAGACAACACGTTCTACTTAATTAAATATACTTTTAATAAATGTTTTCTCATACAACATCAGGGTGCAGTGGCACATTAAATACGCACTACAATGACAATAGTTTAAAGCGATTTGAAGCATGTTTTATTTCTTTTGGGGGGGGGGCAGAGCTTTGTGACGTCATATTTAAGGGGGGGGTCTGAATTTTTGTGACGCCGTGTGACGATGAAGGGGGGGGGAGGGGGTGAAAAATCGTCCAAAATCACGTGACGTCATTTATGGACAGCCCCCAATAGTAAACATGTCCATGAATGAAAAATATATAACAAACTCGTTAACCCGGTGAACACAGCAATACATGCTTGGAATTACATTTCGAGACAGAAGGAGGAACGCATAGGTGAGAGAAAATACACGGTTCAATGACATCATCCGAGCTATGAGTAAACGTGAGCTTGGTCTGGAAACGGCAAACGTTCGAAGGTACGATTGCCGATGTTCACGGAAAATAAAAGTGGGAGCCAAGGAATGGAACGCGTCTGAGAGGAGATCGACCGAGCTGGCCGAGTGAGTAAATCAGTTATTATTCATATTCTTGGTTCTTTCGGTAAAGTCACGTTGAAGGAAAACAATAACACAAACAGTCATCATCAGGTGTGGTTTTCACACCTGATGATGACTGTTTGTGTTACAGTCAAAACGTCGTGAGAATTGTATTGTTTTATATATTTTATTATTTTATTGTTTCCCTTCAACGTGACTTTACCGAAAGAACCAAGAATATGAATCACTACAGTCACGAAAGCTTTAAATCAAAATTTAAATCAGTTCTTGTTAACTATTAACGATGTTTATTTTTTTACCAGGTAAGGCCCACTGAGTGACAAAGCTCTTTGTTCAGAAGCGATCTGGCCACAAATGACAGCTCAACCAAGTGGCTCGTCGCGTGGAAATTCATTGCAGCCAAATACTTTTAAACGCGCGTTCCTAAACGTGAAGGGGAAAACCGGCTGCCTAGAGCTTCTTTCGCACCGTACGTGGCCGACCGTTCTGGCTCTCTGTGAGAGTGAGCGAATATGTACTGTGCGGAGCGTTACAAGTAAAATAAATAAATCTTATGATGATTGTAACTCAACCAGTAATGGATACCCATTGTAATGTATGTGCATTCATTCCCCTCCCTCCCACGGCCTCTGGCCTGAGGGGCTCAAAAGTTACAAATCTATCCCTCGATTTAAGAAGGAAACAGGAGGATGTGTCCACAAATGTGGCTGTCGCCTGATGATGCTTGTTGTAATTGCTGGCAAAAAACGTCGTACTCGGATTTTAAATGTTGTGGATTTGCTCTCCAACACACCGGGGTGCTGAATCAGTAACGAATCGGCATGTTCTGCTTACGTGACAACCCTTACTAATTGGCTGCGTCGGATGGCGATGGCTTCAATGACACATTTATATTTACTGGATCTAACCCCCCCCCCCCCCAGATAACCTCTTATGCTTAATATCGCTATCATTTGTCTCATTCTGACATTAACAACAAACACATGCCATATTGAACAACAAGACCGGGCGGGAGGTCATATGCATTCATTCAGTCCGGAAAGCAGCCCCAGAGGCTCTACATGATTACACTTTGCTAAGACATTACTCAACCCCACCACCCTCTATGATAGATGATAGTGATGATTATAATACAATGGTATCTACTTACCACCCCCCCCCAAACCACCCCTGGTGGGGGGGGAGCCACGAGCGCTCTCAGATTGCTCGGCACCCGATGACGGCACCGGGGCCGTGACGTCACCGGCAGCGGCTCCACAGCGGCAGCGGCGGTGGCGACCTCCTCAAACTTTCCCCCCCCCCCCCGTTGGGGACTCACGGCGCTCGCTCTCCACTCGCCCTCCTCACCAGCACGCCGGCGCCCGGGTTTACCCTGGCGCGATAGAGCGCCGCACGCCGAGGCGTTTCACCCACAGGCTGCGGGCCCCCCGGAGTGCAGGAGGGGACGGGGCCTAGGCGAGGCGGAGGCGGCATGCCGCGCTAGGCCTCCATGTGCGCCTATGGCGACAGTGGGAGCAGCAGCAGGTGGAGCAGCAGCGGTAGCAACAGCGGGAGCAGCAGGTGGAGGTGGAGCAGCAGCGGTAGCAACAGCGGGAGCAACAGCGGGAGGAGGAGGAGGAGGGGGACGAGCAGCAAGGGGATAAGCGGGGGGGGTCGGGTCCTCTCCTCGGTCGCCTCTTAGCGGCCTACGCGTCCCTCCTCCGTGCTTCCTGCTGTCCCCTCGCGTGGCCCGCGTTTGTCATCAATAGCTGCAGAAGCGGCGGCGGCAGGAGGAGGAGGAGGAGAAGTAGCTGCGAGAGGGGGTCGGGGCTTCTCGCCCGCCCCTCGGGGTCCTCACGCTGCGTCCTCACGTAGCCGACGTTGTTAGTAGCCGCCGCCGAGAGGCGATGGGCGCCGAGAGCAGCGCGCTCAGCGGCCTGCGGCGCGACGAGGAGGCAGAGGAGCGGGGAGATGCGATGCCCGGGCCTGGCGGGGTCCGCGTCTGGGCCGCCCGGCTCGGCAAGGGCAGCAGAGCGTCCCTGCTGCTCTACCCCGAGGGCGCCGAGGAGCGCGCACGGACAGCGGCCAAGGTGAGAGATGGAGAGGGAGACGGGGGGGTCTCCTGAGCGCCGCTCGATACAATGTGATTGTCAGGAAGTCACGATGAGACTGTTAGCTGAGATTGGAGGCGCCGTGTCCTGTTACTTGAGTCTCAAGGAGAGGCCTCTGATGGTCATATCTTGATTGGATGACGCCGGCAGGGACCCACTAGTGGGGTCCCACGGACAGGGTCTCGAATGTGGCACAACGCGGCTGTCACCAACGGAGTGCGAGGGTGGAGGGGAGTTCACATTCCCCGCTCCGTTCCTGATGGAGAGCCAGGGCGAGACTCAGCCCTCTCCTACTGGTCTACAGGGGAGACTCCTTATATGATGGTCAGAACGGCCAAAGAGGTCCTCTTGCCCGCCATCCAATGTGCGTCATTTCTTAACTGCGCGTGCATAATGTACGTGAATGTACGTTGACTCAAGAGCGCGGTTTGGTCACCACATCCACGCCTCTGTATAAGGAACGAAACAGGTGGACTTCTCCACGAATCTGGCTGTCGCCTGGTGAAGCTAGTTGTAATTACTGGCGAAACGTCGTACTCGGATTGTAAATGTTGTGGCTTGCCTCTCGAACACACCGGTGTTGCTGTACTAGTAAAGCATTGACATGTTCTGTTTACGTGACAACCCTTACTAGTTGGCTGTGTGATGGTGGCGGGTTTACCGACACATTTATTTATAGATTTACGCGATCTAACCCAAAAAAAGCCCCTCTTATGGATGATATTGGTCGTGAAAGCCTACGTGTTCAGCTGAAGTCAGTGCGTTATCATCCATTACCTGAGCCCAGTTGTAGTGTGTGTGTGTCCCCTTTTCCATAAGTGCATGGGTGGCCAGGGTGACAACTCTTATATGAGCCTCAAGGAGGTAAGGTGTCAAGGTGGGAAGTATCCTGTACCTGTGTCTCAAGGAGAACGTTCATGTTCTCTTGTTTATGTCAACTAATGAGAGAAGATCGTTCTTACCTGAGCTTGAAAATGTCTTCACTTCCCTTAGCCTCATTGTGGTAAGGTCATCCCATAGCTGAGGTTCATAGTGACCAGAATGAGAAACCCTAACCAAGGCCATACCTTATCTTAGCCTCAAGATGGCCAATTGTGAGAGAAATCCTATATTCAGAGTGGCCAATGTCTGCCATCCCTTAGCTGAGCCTCAGGATGGTCACAGTGAGAGAGACGTATCTATGCTTGCAGGTAACCAATATCACCAATCCCCTATAACGTGTGCTTTAACGTCAGAATCTGCAAATTGAGTTGAAAAGCATGTTATGGTTTAGATAAACATTGATGAAGTGCTGGCACAAGGCTGTCTCTTGTATAGTTGCAACCTGCCAGAGGACAAGTCTCAACTGCAGGCTGATTTCCTAAAAAAAAAATGTACAGGCACTCGGGTAACCTATATAGCTGCATCCATAGTAACATGCACTTTGTTCTTATTCATAACCATAGCCTGCTGGTTAAGTTTGATTTCTTGTCTCCCGACACTGACCCAGCCAAACATTAGTACCCGATGTAACGTGTCAACACCGGCTCTTCAATTTAGAGTTTGGTTTACTCTTCCCTCCTCCTGTGCCAGAAAACAGTTGCTGATCAACAGAACTTTCTTTGACTATCCAAACTAACAGATGGGGGGTGTATGCCTGTCGCATCACACAGCACGCAGAGGTAAGTAACCAGTGACCTGTGTTCATTTTCCTACCATAATTACCATCAGTGGCAAAAGTGGTATGTTAACCTGACCTGGTCAATACAGTCATGATTGAGTACCAGTGCGATCTGTCAACACCAGCAATGGGCAGACAAACGTGACCAGGGGTGATGCTGACCACGCCACATCTTCGTGTGCCAGCTTTGATAGCTAGTTGCTCGTTAACAGGACTTGCTGCAACAGTCTATAGGTCTCAACAGGGGATCTTTGTGTATTGTTTGTCACACAGCACATGCGAACCCTCCGTCACCCAAGCATCCTCCGAGTTCTTGGAGCGTCTGCTCACAATGCTCCTTTGGAATCAGGTGCCACTTGCATGCACATACACACACACAAGAATGTAAACCAGCAACATGCATGAATAGTAAATGGAGTGTCTGCAACAGAAGAGGGGTTATTTTGTCGCGTATGTTGATATTCTATTTTGTTCCGTTGATTGAGTGAAATACGTTATGTACACTTTTTAAAGACCGTTTATATGCATTTATGTTTAGTGTGAGTTATCTTATGACTTTAAAACAGTAATTTTTGTGTAATTAATAATACAAGTTTAAGGACTCGTGCTATAGGTACAGGTTCACCTCAAATATTGCTGTTGTGGCTTATGATTTTTAAACGGTTTCCCATCCCGTTGTTAATTGAAAAATGCTTGTTACATTTACAGTTAAGATTGCGTAATTCTTCCGCAACGTTTCTTGAGCATTTTCATTATCAGGCATGCATACAATTCCTTTACAAAGCATAGCAAGTGGCAATTCTGGCTGGCAGAGCCATTGAGGCACAGTGACGGGCACCATTAATTCATTAACAACAGATTAATAGCTGTTTCATAGGGCAGCATGATTTAATGAAGCTGTTGTGTAAAAATAGTAGAATTGTTTGGCAGCAGAGGACAGTGCAGTTTAATCCATTTGTGTACACTCTAGTACGCCTCAGCTATCTTGTTTTTATTTCCCGCCTTAACCAACCCGCACTGACCATCATAGAGAAGTATGGAAAACAAACTCTGCTAACCCATACTCAGCATGGGGAGGCCCTCATCCAGCAATGGAACTCTAAAAGTTGTACGAGTACACATGTGCAATGTGTGCATACACATGTACTGGACTTATGTGGAAAAGAGCTTAATAGCTCATCGGATTCCTGCAATCTAAATAAAGATTCTGATTCTAAATTAAGATTGATTAATTTATGCATCCCATGACGTGTTGCCAATAGCACAATTGAAATATAAACTAAAAATCTAATTATGATATTGGTTATACCCAGATAATGTAGTTGCCTGGCAATACAAATGGTTATTAAATATTTTTTCGTAGTGTTTATTTTAGAACAGTATCACTCTTGACTGCACTGTGCAAAGTTAGGACTGTACACATTACTCTACGAAATCAAATAATATCAAGAAGCCTAAAATGAATTAAGTACTTATTAAATGTGTTAAAGTCAGTAAAAGGCAGACAGGAGCAGGGTGACCTAAATTTCGGACAATAAACAAATAGTGCTTGCTCTTTGTAATTCCAATGTGCGTCTGCACAACAAGCACACGTGTCATTCAGTAACTAGAGCTTGGGCATTAAACGAAATTACCGCTATAGTCAACCCCTCTGGCTCCATATTCACTGCCTCATGTGCGGTGGTTACTGTAACCATCAGCAACGATCTATCTACCGCTGGATGAAGACCTCCCCAAGGCATAACCAATGGTCTTGGCTTGAAATGTAATAATCCACCTAAATCCCGCACAATTGCTGATTTCATCACTCCAAAACTGCCACAGATGCGCTCTCTGGAGTGTTCCTTCCTTTGTCTGCAATTCTGTCGTTTTTTTTTTCTACTAACCATCGTCCCTTATTGAAACATACCCTGCCCAAGCCAATTTGTATTAACAATAGTATAAAGTATACTGTACGGGCGTATACAGTGTATATACAGTTGTACAGTAGTAGCATACTTTATTTTTTTACCCAAGACTCTTAAGAGCCATTTTCAGGAGAGCCCTGCTTTGGAATGTTTGGCCATTTCTACTTGCACTTCCTCTGTATGTATGCATGTTGAACTTCTTTCACACCATACGTAGCCAAACATGCTAATCGGAGGTGCGGAGGATGGACAACAAACTATGAGAGGCACCAACATCATTGGCCTGCTAGCTCACACAGGAACCACCTCTGAACGATCCACCAACATCCACCTTGAAGATTGTTGTGTTAAAGGCATATCTATATATATAAAAGGGAAATTTGTGAATGTGTGTCTGTTCGAAATGTTTAGCATACTTCTCGACATGCAACAAACTTGAAATTTGGCATGTGGGTAGCTTCCAGACTGTACACAATGCAAAAAAGTATAAAAATAGACTTTTGTATTTTTGGGGGGGGAGGGGTGGCGATAATGCATATATTTTGCACAGCAAGTGAGCGGTGACGTCACATCTGTGATGTCACCCGCATGCGGCAGCGTCACGCAGTGTGCCTGCTGACGTCACGCATCCCCCCCCAACCCTCCGCGTAGGCCGTGTATTAATCCCAAGACAAGAATCCAAGTCCTGGGCGAAGCCGGGTAGTCAAGCTAGTTGGCTATAATTTGCTCTTAAGTGCATGTCAAGACCCTGGCGAGAAGATTTTTTTTTCTTTCCCCAATCGTACCCCAATTGTGTTATCGGCCGTCTTTCATTAACTATCTGCACTTGAGAACATGATTTTATTCATAGGCAGTTGCCTGAATTCAATTGCAGGATCTCAGTGGTGTCATCTCAGCACTATAACCTGTTGAGCCACCTGTTCCCCCTCGTTAGCAAGAGGAATATTCTCATGATTTGTTCGTTCAAGGGCTCGTGCCAGCGGGAGTGCCGTGGGTGCTGACGGAGGTGGCGGTGCCGCTTTGGAGCATGCGGGATGCGGAGCGAGGCTCGGCGAGCGAGGTGGCGGGTGGACTCTACTCCATTATGCAAGGCTTGCTGTTCCTGCACAGCACGGTGTGTGTGTGCACCAGTGTCTTTGTGTAACCCATTGCGGAATGGCGGTGTATTTGTTGCGCACTTTTTCAACGAACACAGTAGCTCGAGTCCGATTTCCAGCCAAGGGCTAACATCAGTGCTGATTCTAGATTTAAAGCTTTCGTGACTGCTAGGATCCATACTCTTTGGTTCTATTGGGTAAAGTCACGTAGGTGAAAATAAAATAACAAAAAATTACGACGTTTCGGCCACAACACAAGCGGCCTTCATCAGGTGAAGGGACGAGACAGTCTGGAGGACAGCGCTGGAGTGGAAGATGAAGGCCGCTTGTGTTGTGGCCGAAACGTCGTGATTTTTTATTTTATTTTCACCTACGTGACTTTACCCAATAGAACCAAAGAGTATCAGTGCTGATTATCTGAACTGGTCCTGGGCTTTCCCTAGGTGGACTTGGCTTTAATTTAGTACCTTGTGCAGAGTGTGTAAACATGAGCAATGGGGAGGCAGCCAGAGGTTTTGACACCATCCCATCGTGTGATGATGCCAGCCATCATAGATGCTTGCTAATATCACTCGCCCCAACCAGTCTATTAAAATCCAATATATTGGGGATCTTAATCCTATTATTGACCATGGCTGTGTGTCCTTGAGTTTGCATGTGCATTATTGGGCACGTGTGTGTGTGTGTGTTTTTAATTCGGCATGGGCGTCTGTGTGTGCAGTGTGGCCTGACCCACAATTCAGTGGGAGAAGGCAGTGTATTGGTAACTCCGGGGGGGGAATGGCGGCTCGGAGGAATGGAGAGCTCCTGCACTTTCAGCCAGGCAACCCCACAGGTTAGTGTGCATTAGAGTGTGTGTGCATTAGTGTGTATATGGGGAGCAGTTGTGTTGCGGTTAGCACGTTGCACTACGAACCTGACGACCCGAGTTCAATTCCCGCTCATGACCAAAACCAATAATGGTTGTTTGGACTGGTCCCATTGGTCGACTCAGCCTCAAGTGAATACCTGGTTTGGTGTGTAAACATCGCCACTAAGGAGGCAAAGTCGGTCGAGTGGTGCTGGCCACCCACCCCCTCGTGTACCATGCCAACCTTCGTAGGTGCTTTGCCAACAGCACTTGCCCCAACAGTCTGTTAAGGCTATTCCGGGGATCTTTGTATATGATTGTGTGTGTGTGCATTAGATTGTATGATTGTCAGAGTTGTGCATTAGAATGAGTGCATAATTGTGTGTGATGTATGTGTTTATTGGTGTGCATTGCGCCTGTGCAATGATGTTAGCTGAAGTCCAGTGACATGATTCTAATTCCTGGCCAAGCACTGCAGAGCAGTGGCAGATGGTGTCTGACTGCAGGCAAAACTTTTCTTGATACGGCATCGTAAAATACACAACAGTGTAGAGGCCGACCGAAACTGAATTTCTGGTATCGGCCGAAACTGAAAGTTAAAAATTGACTTTCGGCCGAAACCGAAACTTTGCCGAAAGAGGCCATTTGACAACTTTCAGCGCCGAAACCGAATTTCGGTCGGCCTCTACAACAGTGATATGTTCACACCAACACTGGGAAAAAGAGGGTTGCCAGGAATGATGACCCACTTCCCTCTTGTGTACATTATGTGCTGTTGCACATTGCAACAACAGCCTAACATGACTGAATGGGTGATTGATCTTGTGTCTTTGCCTTAAGTCACAAAATGTTGCATTGTTAAGCAACTTTTTAGTGTCGTTTGTGTAATGAAACATGTGTAGTTACAGGTGAGTATAATAGTATAATAGTGTTGTGAATTTGCCTGTGTATAAATAAATATGTCTGTTGAACTTTTTTCACACCATACGTAGCACCTGCGGAGGTGCAGGGGTCCTCATATATGGTTGCGCTTTGTGGATAAACAATGCAGAATGTGACATCTGTTTTAAAAGAGTGATTCTCTCAATTCCTAGCCTGGAATCGCGTTTCCGTGATTAGGATGAAATTTGATTCATAACAGTATTGTGGGATCCGAAAAATTGTAGAATTATGCTAAGCTTCGCAGGGCCCAGTTTGGCATTAAAGTAAGACGGCAGAGCACTTGGAGCCTGGTCAGCCTCGTAGAATCTCCGTTGAAATGTGGTCGGTGGCGATCAGGCACGGTTCGTCCACTAGGGGCGTTGGGGCGCCGCTTCACCAAGCAGCTGGAGATGAGAAATTATTTTTCCAATAAAATGACTTTTCTATAAATTGTTGCGTTTACATTTTTAAAAAATATATATGATTATTTAAACATGAATTGCCAATGAAGATAACATTTTAAGTTGTTCATATTAGAAACCGCTGCAACATTGTCTGATTTGTGCCTCGTGGAGGTCTCGGGGCTGCTGCGAAGGCGTCCGAGTGAGAGATATCCCGTCATTCATTGCGATTAGCTTAGCATTTTAGCCATGCCGTTTGAGACCCATTCATAGTGGTGAAAAAGGCACCCATGGCTGTAATGACGACGTCACAACGCTAGGTTGCACTTTGCAAATTTAGCAGGTTACGGCACTGTCAAAGGGGTTGTGTAGTGTGGACTTTGAGGGTCATGGGGACAGCATTTGAGTGCCTTGTTTTGTTTCATATTGTTTATAAATTCCTCACCGTTGGTAGCTAATACGGTTATATTGCTTTCACGGGAAGGCCAATAACATGACGAAGTTTTTCTTAATTTGGAACACCATATTGTCAGAGAACACTCTGAAAATAAATTTCAAGCTGTGATCAAAGGAATCAAATAAGATTTACTCAAATACGTTTGGTCCAGCTCTCGTGTGTACACGAATCCTACGCATGAGTACGAGAGCCCGTGTATGTGCGTGGGCACCATGTGTAATTCTGATCGAGTAGTGTCCGTGCATCCATATGGGTCTGTGTGTGTATGCGTGCGTGCAGTTCCTGGAATCAATCCGTGCTCTCCGCGATCCTGACAGCATTCCTCCAGAGGAGGTCAGGCCTAAGGCAGCTTACCACCCTTCCGAATAATTCTCATGTCTGAGCTATTTAAAAAAAATAATCTACAAGAGTCCCATATGATCCCTTGTGATGCCGAACACTTTTGTAAGAAGGTAACTGCCGAGCTGCGTGTATGGAAAGTTCGAGGATAGGAGTGTTGAGTGCATTTATTGTTGCAGTCATAAGTGTGGATTCAAGCACTTTAATATAGTTTTAACTTTTTCATCGTGAGCAGCCGTGGTCACTTTTCTTCTGGATGAAGGCCACCCGACCACCCATTCATTCACCGTCCTTCATGTTCTTGCAATCCCACGCTCCTATTTAATACCTGCATATGAGTTGATCTCATCACTCCCCCTCGATGGTGGTTATCCTCCGGCGTGTTCTATCCTTTGGCTGATATTCCATCACCAGACTCGTCCATCTACCATCATCCATTGAGTGATCCCTCATTTTTATTTTGTTCTCTAATTCACGTGTGGTTTTTCTGTCTCTAAATATCCATCTATGCTTCTTTACACATGCATATAGTGTGTAAAGCCAGATTGTCATTATTGTATCTACACATTCATTTAAAATGCAATGATAAACATTTTCTATTTTTAAGTTAGTCCTGTATTTACGATTTCAGCACGTGCATTTTTTTCCTAATAAAGCTGTACATTTCAAAATTATTGAAAAACTACGCAAAATACTCGTGTGTGAAGCTTATGTGTATCATGTTAACATCTGCACAGTTTCTGGTGTGTACTCATGTATGCGTGTGTGCATGGATGTGCGTGCCTTGTGTGGATGCAGAAACCCAGGCTCCAGGGTTTGCAAGTCGCCGTGGGACATGCAAGGGACGTTTACGCATTTGGGATTTTGGCCCAGAAGCTATATTCGCTGCTCTCGGACCTCGGTAAACAAAAAGTTTTTACCTCTCTCTGGTTAAGTGTGGAGGGGTTGTACTCTTTTATTCATGATCGTGGTTTTTGTAACAATTTCATTTCTAATGTATGTGGCTGAGTGCTTGGGGTTGTACGTAGTGTAGGCCAGCGTCAGTGCAGCAGTTCGCGTGTTGCTCTACGAACCCAGGAGTCCGAGTTCGATTCCTGCTCACGGCCAACACGTGACGATCATCTTAACCAGTCCTGGGCCTCTCCGAGGTCGACACAGCCTCAAATATGTACCTCGTGCAGTGTGCAAACATCGCCACTAGGGAGACAAGGCCACCCACCCCCTCATTCGTGTGTAGGGCCGGTCTTAATAGGTGTTCGCTAAAAGCACTTGCCCCAACAGTCTGTTAAAGGCTATACGGGGGGGGGGGTCTTTGGGGTTGTATGTGGTTGAGTGAGAGTGGTCGTGCGTGTATGCAATACATACACTTGTGTGCCTGTGCGGTCATGTCATAGTTTGTGCAATGTGCCTGCAGTGCCACCCATTTGGGTTCAATTCTTGGTCATATATGTCACATATATGTCCTGGGCTTGTAGGTTGACTCCACATTTTAAAAGGTACCTTGTGCATTGCGTAAACGTCTCTGGGAAGATAAAGACGGCTGTCTGTGGTGCCGACTACATCACTGCACAGACTTCGCAAAGTTTACACTTCTCACATTTATGTTGAACTGGTTTCAGATTCTGTGTCCCTGGCCTGTGCACTCTTAATTGTCGCTTTCGCTCATAACATCTTAGATGCGGCGGCATTTTCTGCAGCTTAACAGTGATAAAACTGAGATTCTTCTCAATGGCTCCCCCTTATCAGCTGCCCCAGGTTTGCCCTCAATCTGGTGATCAGTGGTCAGAATGTCTGCTGAACACACAAAGTTAGAAATCCCGGTGTTGTCTTGGGTCGGTCTTTATGTTGCCTGGTTGTGCCACATTCTTTGTTCTGAATAGAGACTGATCCATTCGCTCATCTTTTCACATCTTGCCTATTGCAATGCCTTGCTTTTCGGATGTCCAAATAACCTTCTTTGAACTCTGCAGTGTGTCCAAAATGCGGCCACCACGGTGCTCACTCGCACTACTCGTCGGGACCATATTTCACTTGTGCTCATGTCTCTGCATTGGCTTCCAGTTCAAAGTTGCATTGAGTTTAATAATCTCCTACACCATACTTCCATCAGTTTATTCAGCTCCACGCTCCACTGAGATCTCCTAAATCCACCGATTGTGCCCTACTCCGCATACATTATTCTCGGCTTCGAAACTGGGGTGATCACCGGGCTTTTGCCTGCACGGTGCCCAGGCGCTGGAATTCCGTGCACTTGGATATCAGGAACTCAGTTGATGGAGACTTAAGTCCTGGCCAAACACCCCACCTGTTTAAAACGGCCTCTAATTCTCCATTGTCTGTATGAATGTTGAAATAATCTCGCACCGTACGTAGCCGACCATGCTATTTGGAGGTGGTGACTTATCACTTCACGTATTTTCCTCCTCCATATGCATGACGCTCTGAGATTGATTGTGTAAGTGCGCCTTATAAATCTACATTATTATTTCTACACCAGCCTTAGTAGGTGCTTGCCAACAGTACCGTATTTTCCCGCATATAACCCTCTTGGTATACCACATTTTACAAACAAAACAGGACCCTGCGGGGTATATGGAGGTGCGGGCTATCCCAAAAATATTTTACACGTCTGACATGTCATAACGCGTTTAATTGTTTCATGGTAGGACTATCCACTATGCAACACTTACCTTTGACTAAAGCACTGCTGAATAAACCACTCGCACAAAAATTGCACGTGTTATCACGTTTTAATTATTCGAATTGTTTGTACAATGAAATTACAATGTTTGAAGTGGGCGCACTTTGTTTACTGGCAACTGGAGAGCTGGGGGAGAGAGAGGTGGGGGGGTTGGGGGCGAGGCAACGGCGTTGCCGTAGTGCCACTACTATCTGCGCAGTGCCAATCTACCAGTGCTAAAACTGTACTTGTCTACCAGTTATGTGTTACTTATTTATTGGATATTTACTTTTGTTACTTATTTACTGTTTTAAGTTCACTCGTTTCCGGTTAGTTTATTTTATTTGTGCACCTTATGATTTTAATGTTAACAGTTGATAGTGGAATGTATTACAAATGTAAACTTCGTATTAATATGATGGAATTAAGCTGCGGTAACGACGTTAAAGATATGAATGCATGCGGGGTATATGGAGGTGCGGGCTATCTGAAATTTGTTTTTCACAAAACGCAATTTTTGCGGGGTTATATGCTTCTGTGGGTTATATGCGTATGCGGGCTATATGAGGGAAAATACGGTCCTTAACTCTGCAATACATAAGGCTAAATGGGGGGGGGGGGAGACTTGTGTGCAATTGGCTATGTGTGTGTGGTAACATGGGAGATTGTGGGAGTGCAATATGCTTGTATGGGTGTATGTTCAACTTCTTTCACAATGTACGACAACAATGTACGACAACAAACTGAACACAAAAAGCAGTTCTAAATAAAATCGTTTTCAATCTCGATTGAAATGCCTCGTGTTACTCTTGTTTTAATATTGGGACACAGGAGAGGTGGCAGATGGCTTCATGTCACTGGTGGAGACGAGCCTTCTCAACGCTGACCCCACACTAAGGCCACCTCTTACCACCTTGACCACACATGGGCTGTTTCGGTAAATTCACGTGCATCCTCATAGGCACACGCGCACATCCTAACGTGTATGTTCACATGCAGATAAATATCCAGTTTAGGCTCTAGACTGTAGTGGAAAGGTATGTTAGAAGTGAGCACCAGACACTTTGCTTCTGTCTACCAAGTGTTAATTTTGAGTTGTTGACCACACTGAACAAAGATTCCAGGTTAAAAGGAGATCTGTGTGTGTTAACCCATGATATCTGGGTCTGTCCTACAACCTGACAGCTTGATGATGCACATACCTTGTGGTAATATAGCTAATTCGTGGAAAATGGCAGCTGTCACTGTGATGTGAGCGCTACGAACCTAGCGACCAGAGTTCACTTCCTGGTCGTGTAGGCAATTCAGCCTTAAAAGAGTACCTGGTGTGGTGTGTAAACATTGGAATTGTGCAGACAAAGGCAGCGGCCGTGCTGCTTGACCGCACCACCGACTGCCTCTTGCGTCACGTTGAACTTGGCAGTTTATTGCAAACGATACTTATCCCAACGGGCTTGTATGCACATGCTGGGGATCTTAATGTGTTTGTATAGTGTTGTGTGTATGTATTTTCAGAAATGATTTTCAAGAAGTGCTGGGATTCTTGGATGACCTCACCCTCAAAAACGAGGAGCAAAAGCATGAATTCTTCAAGTAAGCTCCTCTCAGGAATTGCTGGGTGGTCCAGAAGACTAAAACTACGTCATAGCCAGATTTGCTTAGATGCTGGGTAAAAATCTGGCTCTCGGCCACCTGTCATTAAACCGGGTTCTTGGCTAGAGCGAGTCTCAGCCCAGTCACCAATAATCGCACAAAAAAAACATGTTTATATTTGGAGTTTACATGTGTCTCTCTCCCTGTGGTCATGTGGATTTTTCTCAGTTTCTTCTGGTTTATCCCTCCACATTTATAAACATGCGTTTTAAGAGTAGCTGGCTGCTATAAATTGCCAGGTGATAAGCTATCATTTGTGGCCAGTTTGCTTCTGAAAAAGCTATATAGCTCAGTGGGCCTTAACTGGTCAAATTAGAATAGTTTAGCGTTACAGGAGGAAATGGTGCTTACAGCATTGCCAGAGATTGCAAATATAGCCGGCTTTAACACAGTGCCAATACCATCTGCAGGTTCCTGCTGGAGCGAGTGCAGGCGCTGCCTGAGAACTTGGTGGCCAACAGATTGGTCCCCAGGCTTATGTCTCCACTGGTACTGGCCGAGCCTGTGGCCGTAAAGAGCTTCCTGCCACACCTGCTGACGCCCAAATCGGGGCACACAGGGGGTAAGTATGTGTGTGTAGCAAACAACTTTGGACAGGTTGTGATGGTGATGATAATGGTCATAGAAAAGCAAGGCGTCTCTGTGCTCGCACGCATTTTTGGGGAAGCCACTGTATAATACTTTCTGTGACCAAGTCAATCGGAATTTGTGCCCGATCTCAGAAGCTCAGCAGAATTGAGCCTGGATAGTACATGGAAATGTGACCACCATTTATTGTAGGTGTTATAGGTGGCTTCGGGGCTACCTTGTAAGCAGCAGCAGGCACTGTATTGTACTATGACCTCCTTTCTGCTCCCTGCCTTCGCCTACCCACGGCCTGCACGGTGTGGAGAAGTCCTCATCCAGCAGTGGATTGATGAAGGGCTGTCTTAGTAGTGCTCAGTGGTGGACCTAAGCCATTGGTGCAAATTCCATAGCATGGCGAGTGTTGACCTCTCACAAAGTGCTTGTTATTTTATTCACTCTGGAGAGACAATTGGCGAGGTCAACCCCCCACCAACCAGAATCTGAACTCTTGACCTTTACATTATAAGTCAGAACGCTAACCCATAGTGCCATGCAGCCAGATCAATCGTAAAGGTAGCGGTGGAGAATACATCCCTTGAAAAGCCTCTTATACATTAATATTTTATTTTCGTTGACATTGCCGAGAGGCAGCGTGTTTGCCGTTAGTTGCAAACTTTTGTGGCTGGAGCCCAGTGGCCGCCCTGGCTTAACACTGCGGGCGTAGTAACCGAAAATACCCCGAGCCTCTTTCACAGTGGTGGACGTTAAAGATCACACGATGTTATTCAAAAAGAGTACCCCGTTTGTGCCGGCGTTACAGCCCAAAATTTGCTAAATCTAACATCAGATCCATTAATTACATCGCCCACCTCTGGTGGACCATACTCGTATGTGAAACATGACAATTTTCGTGTAAGATTGGAATGAATACTGAACGTGTTGCCTGTCATCAATCGCAGTCTTTTCCCTCCATGGTCACGCAGATCAGGTGACGGCAGCTGGCCAGTGGGAAGGCTTGCTGAGCGCGCCGGCGTTCCGTGAGCACGTGTGCCCACGCGTGTGCGAGCTCTTCTCGTCGCGCCACGCGCACGTGCGGGCGGCGCTGCTGGGCACGCTGCCCGCGTACGCGCCCAGCCTGACACGCCACGAGCTGGAGCACACCGTGCTTCCGCAGGTGCCCGCTCGCATCTGTGTGCGTGCATGTGTAGCGAGTCCCGACTGAGTCGCAGACGTTGTTCCTTTTAGAGGCAACACATGTATTTGTAACACTGTAACACAAAAGGGGTAACTGCCCCCTTTGCCAGATACAGCCTTGGGTGGTGACCACCCATGCTAACTACACGATACAGGGGAGTTACTGCTACGATGGGTCGGACCCTCGCTCGGGTCTCCGACCACGTGGTTGCCCCGTAGGACGTGGCGCTTCCAGCTTGAGACACGGAACTCCCAGCCTGTAGAACGAAGAGAGACCCCGGTTCCTCTCAGGGAGCCGCCTTATATCCCTCTCCGGTCGGAGCCACTCCGCCCACCTTCCCGAACATTCTCATTCCCTCTCGATCCTTCTCAAAAGCTCTCTCCGGACACGTGATCACCCCCTAGTCCCCCCATCAGGGGGACCCTGTATGGACATTCTGGATCACGTGTCTACGGGGTCAACCAGAGTGCCATGGCCCGGGGCAACCTTGCCCCTGGGCTGACGCTCACCCACTCCCCCTCGGGGGAGCCCCCACCACACACTGTGCGTGGTACCCGCACTATCCCAGTGCTCGCCAAGCCCCGCTAGGGCTGGTGTCACACACAGCCACCCACACGGTGCTGTCCACGCTAGGGCTGGTGTTACACACAGCCACCCACACGGTGCTGTCCACGCTAGGGCTGGTGTTACACACAGCCACCCACACGGTGCTGTCCACGCTAGGGCTGGTATTACACAGCCACCCTCACGGTGCTGTCCACGCTAGGGCTGGTATTACACAGCCACCCTCACGGTGCTGTCCACGCTAGGGCTGGTATTACACAGCCACCCTCACGGTGCTGTCCACGCTAGGGCTGGTATTACACAGCCACCCTCACGGTGCTGTCCACGATGTCAGAACATCGAACGGCACGACCCTTCCGGGCCGGCACCATACAGTGACATCCGCGATGTCACTACACATGTGTTATGTGTGTGTGTGTCTGTGGGGAGCGGTAGTGTAGTGGTCTGCGTGCTCCGCTATGAACCCGGTGTTCCGAGTTTGAATCCCCGCTAACGGCCAACACCAGTGACGATTATCTGAACTGGTCCTGGGCCTCCCCTAGGTCGACTCAGCCTCAAATGAGTACCTGGTGCGGTGTGTAAACATCGCCACTAGGGAGACAAAGGCGGTTGGGCGTGGTGCTGCCACCCATCCCCTCGTGTGCCGTGCCGGCCGTCATAGGTGCTCGCTAACAGGATTTGGCTCAAAAGTCTCTTCAGAGGGAATCTTTTTCTTCTTGTGTGTGGCACTGTGGAGTATGACAGTGGTGTGTCTGCGAGTCATCTCAGTCAATAATATTAATTAGGAATTTGATAGGCAGCTTGCTTAATTGCCTCATCAACTCAAAGAGCTTTACACCTTATTTCACCTCGACCATACAAATGCCCTGCTGCAGTCTAGACCCCATGCATTATGCACGAGGGGGTGGTAAACCTGGCCTCAGTCTACCTGCCCCAATCTTCTAATGGTAACCCAAGTTATTTTTGCATATGTCGCTGCTGTTCCAGCTTTATTATGCTCTTGATAACAGTACCTGCCCCACAAATCTGTTCATTCTAAGAGCAGAGTTATTTTTCACGTGTGTTTGCTTACATTCGTGCATGTGCACGTGTGTGAAGGGTGGGGAGCAGTGGCCTAGCGGTTAGCCGACTGCGTTGTGAACCAATTATCTGAACGAGCTCTCTGCCTCCTCTTGGTTAAATCAGTCTAAAATGAGTACCCGGTATAATATGTAAACATTAGCACGAAGTAGACATGGACCCATGAGTGGTGCTGGCCAGACGTCACCCTTGCAAATGAGCCCTATCCTGGCCTCCTGAATTCTCACCTGTTTATAAACAAAATAAACTTGATTTGACCTCATTTGCCATGATGCTCGCCAACAAAACTTGTCCCAACAATCCACAGCTTTGGAGAGGGATCTCTTTGTGTTGTGTGTGTGTGTGAACATGCACGCAGCTGCTTCTGGGCTTGCGGGACAGTAGCGACGAGCTGGTGAGCAGCACGCTGCACGCGCTGGCGGAGATGGTGCCTCTGCTCGGGGCACAGACGGTGATCGGTGGAGGGAGGGAGCGCGTCTTCAAGCCATGCGCACCCAGATTCCACCGCGACACGCTCGGTACAAACACAAAGGCACACACGTGCGCACACACGCGCACACACACACACACACTACTGACTGGGTATTCACTCGCTGCACATCGTCGGCACATGCATACTGCTGTAAGCAGGCTGCTGCGTCACGATGTACTGCCGGATGAGGACATCTCAATGCTTTCACCATACTTCACCACGCTGATCAGTGCTGGTGAGTGAAGGCAGGAAGCATAGAAGTACAGTTAATGAATTTAGCTGCACTGCCCTCTTCTGCCAGCTACAAATCCACGCGGCCTATAACAACCTGGCGTGCGTGGTCATCATCCATCCAAGCACTATCCGGGTTTAACCCCTGCGCTGAGCTCCTGAGATCTGATGAGAATGGGCGTCTTCCGGTTGATTTGATTTGAGACTTACACAAGCAGTATATGCAGTCAAACACAGTACATTTTCATATAAGGATAGCACCTTTTTTACATACACACAAAGACAATAAAATCCCCATTTTAACCACGAGGCAAGTGGTATTAGCAGTCAGGAGTGTTAAACCTGTCGGAAGCCAAGGCGAGCGTAACTTACTAATGGTGTGAGTGGAAAGGAATCGGATTATGGACAGTGTATTTGATTGCTTCCCTCACACAACGCACAGATGCAAGTAAATTCCCTACCATACTCAAAACAGCCACTCGAGCTTTGCTGCATTTGCTTATCTTTTGTGTCTCATGAGCGTAGTACGGCTGTGCTTTATTTACGTTTTAATACACTTACTAAACAGTACAATATTGCATTTCTGCCTGGACAGATACTCAGGGTTAGGCAGATAAGTGAAATGGTCCGGTATGCAACGTTGTACTGTAAATGTAGTTATTCGATCAGAATAACTACATGGAAGCTTTCCGTTGGTTGCATTCTGTCGCCCCCGCCGAGTTTGCACGCGTCCGCCCGTGCGTGGATCCGTGCATGCACTCGCGTGGATCCGTGCATGCACTCGCGTGGATCCGTGCATGCGCTTACGTGCACTCTGGTACTCTGCAGGCTCCCCGGCGCATTCTCCCAAGCACCTGGCAGCAGCAGCAGCAGCAGCGGCAACGACAGTGGCGGCGGCGACCCCATCGTCCTCGACGTCCTCGCTGACGTCCTCGCTGATGTCCTCTCCGCCACGTAGGCGACTGTCCGCTGACTCGACTGGCACAGCGGCAGAAGGGGCCGACTGGCCCGACTGGGAGAGCGAGGGGGTCGAGGGCAACGGGACGAACCCCTGTGACGCCGGCCGCGTCCGCTCGCGGGATGACGGCCACTCGCAGAAATGCGAAAACGGGAGCGTTCTGCTCACTGACTTGGCCCAGTTGGCGCCAACATCCAAGCAAACGATAGCGGTGATGAACGGGGCGGTTGTTGATGCCCGGGGGGTGATTGCGGCGGGAGGCACAGCATCCCGTACGCAATTGGCGGACAATGAGGTCCGCAAAACAAAGCCCCGTGGACTTCAGCTGAGGCTAGATGGGCCCAGCCGGCAGCCCTCCACGATACTTTCATCATCATCATCGTCGCTTTCGTCATCTCCTTCATCGCTTTCATCACAGCAGCAGGATGCTCGGCCGGATGCTCACACTGCTGTGCGGGATGGACCGGCTGTAGCCAAGCTTTCAGCAACAGTAGCGTCATCATCATCATCGTCGCCAACTCGGCCTTCCCTAAGCCTACACACATCGAAGGCATCGCCGTCGCAACCATTAGTGGTAAAATTGGCGCCGGCGCCAAAAGCTCCGCCGTCGACACAGCCACTGCAGCTGGGCGAGGAATTCAAGATCACTGCCAAGGGGCGGCGCTGGGCAGCAAGGGACCCAGAGCTAGACCTCTTCGCCGACATGGAGCCCACGATCACGTTTGACCGCAGTGAGTCTTGTGATGCAGCTGCCACCGTCGCCACCACGGGCGACTCGCGCACAAACCCTGGCATGGACTCCAGAGGGACACTCGATGCCGAAGCGTTCAGTGGCACTGGAGATGGGAAGACGCAGCCGGACAAATTCGCTGCAGCCGCTGCAACCGAGGTGAGACGCACAGCTGTACGTGCGCGAGTCGGCGTGTATGCATGACGACGATAAGAAATATCCCCTCCACCCTCTTTAAACGTGTCAACTTTTTAGGCCAGTTCTGTCAATGAGCCCCTATTAATGGCTACCACAGTACACGAGCCAGCATTGTGTGCTCGAGCCTACTTTTGTCTCCGCAATGCCATTGTTGACTACACCGTAAGAAGTACTACATTAAGGCTGGGTCACCCTAAAGAATTCCCAGTGCGAGTTAAGGTACTATGTATGGGAAGTTGCACGTGAAGTCTCGTTAATTGAACTTGTATTTGGTTGCGATAATTAAAGAACGGTGCGCTTACAATGATAAGTCCTTGTGTGAAACAACTTGCATAGGCACAGGCACAAATGATCTCTCAGACCGCAGACCTGTCACTTGTTTTTTTCCCTACCTTTTGTCCAACTCCCAGGAAGCGTCATGGGGCTGGGATGAAGACACCGAACTGGACTGGAGCGAGTCAGGCTGGCAGGATGCGGAACATGAAGAAAAGCAAAGCAGAGCTGAAACAAACTCTTAGCACAGACCGTCACAGAGTGGTCATCCATATACCTGCTCACTTTGTCTCCTCTTCCTATCACACCCACTCTCCTACCTCTTTTAATGTGACCTCACCACTCAAACTGTCCTTTTTTAAATGTTCTGCTTTTCTACTATCTGCCCTCCCAAATTCATTACGTTTTTTAATCATTCTTTTCCTCCGTTCGCTATCCGGCATTTCATATTTGTGCTTGGCGTGCGGATCACCGATATTTGCTCAGCGAAAATTTTGAGCACTTTATGTGGTGGCGGATATGATTTACACCAACGCTTTGGGAGACTAAGGTGGCGGGGCACGCAAAGTGCTGGCTCCACCACCTTATTGTAATTTGCCGAGTCAGCTTTAGAAGTTGCTCGCAAATGGCACTTGTCCCGGCAAGCTTAAAAGGAAAACATTCTTGGTTCCTCTTAAGTTTTTATATTTGTCTCATACTTTCAGTTCCCTGTCTCTTTTCTGACTCATTGTCATTGCATTGTGCAGTGATGATGCAAAACTCTATCTGAGGCAGTTGCCTTCTGGCTCTGTAATAGAGCTAATCATCTCAAGGGCCGTGCTTCTCAACACTATTTTATTAACCCCTGCCTCCACGAAGCCGCTTTGAGCCAGAGGTCAAAAGGAGAGGTCACTCGTCGACCCCCCTGGCTTCTGGAATGGCTTTCCCTGAAAGCGGCGGCACTGGTTCATTCCACACTGGGCACGCGTTTCGCTCATCAGTGCCAAGCATTCCCATGGCCAGCAATTGCATACAATGCCCAGATGGTGACGCTGCAGCCAGTGAGAGGAGCTCGCTGAAATTCCAGAACGAGTGCTTTGCCAGAGACGCCTTCGCTCACCCAAGTGGTCTGTGAAAGATGCTTTAAGAAGATAACGATCCTGATGTCGCTGGACAGTTGTTGTTTGGCTGAAGGCGGAGTAAAGCGGATTGGGACGGGACTGCAACCGCACTTCACATGCACATCTAACTCATTCTGCGCTTTAATGCACACACCGCATGCACACTTTTGTGTTTGAACTTCAGTCTCTGCTGGAAAGGTTATGCATTACACTTCACCTTCCACAAACCTCTGCTAAGTGTAATAGGTAACTTAAATGTATTGTTAGGGCATTGTGAGATCAGGTCTTGGCTCAATGATGTTTGTGCAGCCCAGTTTATTGATGCCAGCCTGTGATATTCAGTGACTGTTGAGACAGGGTTGGATTGTTTGGTGGTGCGAGTGCCACACGTGATCACTCCATTGTCAGTCCCTGTGTTGAGTGAACACGCAATTGACACGTGTTCATTCTGTGCACAGCAAGGATACCCAGGCATGAGACTGACTTGAGAACACAAGCCTTCATAACAGTGGGGGCCGGTGTCACTCCTGTACTGAATGGAACACGGCACCAAAGAATGTATGATCCATTGTGGGGTAGCTCCTTGAGAGAAACTCACCAACGATAAGCTTCACAGCAAGAACTTGCCTAGGGTGGCCTCAAACGCCCTACGTACATGTGATTATCTGTGATGAATACATTGTGCCCGGCACTATGGATGAGCAGCTTCAAAACCTGTGACCAATGTAGTTTGTTTTTACTTGTCAATATAGCTTCATCTTGTTGGGTAGCTTGAAAAGGCAGGCTGTGTCTGGCTTGTGCATGCCTCCATATGCTGCTCTCTACATCAAACCATTATTCTGCTGGTCCACATCAAGGTTTGACAGCATTGCATCAGAGATGTATGGGCCATTTTAGATTGAGCCTATGTTACCGCACATATTTATGGACGAATCAATTGGGAGAGGGTCTTAATTGTAATAAAAATTAATGTGAAGTTGCCTTGCTGCTTGCATAATTCTCATTTTGTACAAAATGCACTTATGTTAAGTTGGCTCTTTTAAACGGGCTTCTCCGTGCCTAGTGATAAGGAGGCACCCTTCATTGAGTGAGCCAAATGCATTTTCTGCAGAATGGTGGGATCTAGATGTTGGGAAATGAATCACTGCAGGATTTTTTTTTCAGTCCCCGTTTTAGTTTTTTGATGCAAAATTCAACTGGAAAAAATAAATCTCAACTGGTGAAAATGCGTTGAGGTGCACGATTATGTAGTTGTGTGTGTGTGCACACGAGCACATGATATTGCTGAACACTGGGTTCTACATATTGGGCATATAAAACTGCTCAAATGTGAATTCATATTCTATGGTTCTTTCGGTAAAGTCACGTAGATAGAAAAAAAGAATAATAAAAAATAAAGTGAATAAAAAAATCACGACGTTTCGATCGCAGCAAGCGGTCGTCGTCAGGAGCAGGGAGGTTAGCCTCTGAGGACAAGCTGTTTTATAAAGGTTTAAATATGGGCGGGGCAGCTAATGTTAATTGTGGGAGAGGGCTCCGACACAGGCAGTAGGTCTACACCAAAGCATTGCACCTCGCTCCATACACCTACACTGCTGACGGTGGAGGTGGACAAGTCATCAACCACTTTGGGTCATGACTTGATTTGTGTTTTCTTGTCCATCTTCGTCAGCAGTGTGGGTGTGTGGAGCGAGGTGCAATGCATTGATTGGTGTAGATCTACTGCGGGTGTCGGAGCCTTCTACATTAACATTAGCTGCCCTTGAATGAAACGCTGTCAAGCAAGGACCGCGTCTTTTGAAACTGTGTGGGCGGAGTTGAATTAGCTGCCCTGCCCATCTCTAAACCTTTATAAACAGCTTTCCCTCAGAGGCTAACCTCCCTGTTCCTGATGACGACCGCTTGTGTTGCGATCGAAACTTCGTGATATTTTTATTATTTTTGAGTCAACTTTATTTTTATTATTTTGTTATTTTTTTCCATCTACGTAACTTTACCGAAAGAACCATAGAATATTAATTAATGCAGTCACGAAAGTTTTAAGTCAAAATGTGAATTCGGCTGAAATGTTAATATTTAAAAAAACTAAAACTTAAGTTTCGATGACAATTGGGATCATTGCTTCGGGATCAGAGAGAGATAAGCAGTATACTCTAAATGCATCTTAAGCCCTGATTAAAACTAGCAAGGGTCACAGCAATTTGAGCACTCGCCTTGTATGAACGTTTAGAATTTGAATTCTGGTCATCCTGTGATGACCAGGACGTTAATAGGCACGTAACAATCCGCCCCCGCATAAATGTGATTGTCCTCATTTAAGAGGAGTGCAATTCGATTTGAGGATTCGTTTTAGTCTCAATTGCATTTTGTCATTTCTGATTTATTCATAGTGTTACCATTACCCTGAATCGAATATGAGTATCATTTGTTCAGCTTCAATTCTGACGTGATATGATGCACGTGGTGTGAGTAATACGTTTGACATATTAATGATTCTGCACCCCGAGGTAACTGGTTAACATGGTGAGCCTGGATCCTGCCATAGGAATGTGAAATTGCCACCATTTACTACAAACTGACCACCAATGGAAATCAAATGAATGTTTATTACATCACTTGAACTTTTGAACTCAAAGTGACTGAAGCTTATGTTAATTGACATTTTTTTTTCCTAAATAAGGCTTCAAATTGTCTGGCATTTGATATTTTAGCCCATCTAAGGAGTAAACTTGGCTGTGTCAAATTGGTGGCATGACGACAGTCCTGACAAGCTCGGAACAACAACTTACATTTCAAATCCCATACCCATAAGCACAGGTGTGTGTGTGACGCTTCTCGAAAAACAGGTAACTTCCTCATTCACTCTCATGTTGTATTGTCGCCTAGCAACATTAACAGCTCAGTGTATTGAGACTTCTTTGCTAGGAAGCGGAGAATTAAAGCGGTCAGTTCGCCTCAACGCCAGATTAAAACGCATCTCAAGACATGGGTGAGTGTTTTGAACAGATTTCGAGTAAAGCAAGCACTTCAAGAGATAAATAAAAACAAATTTGGGAATAACGTAACACTAGAAGCCATGTTGCGTGTGTTCTGTAGGGAGTTTGATTTAAATGTTCAATGAACTTGTCATAAGCAAGGTAGCGGACCTACACTTTTGCAAATGCGTCCGCATTGTAGGTATTCATTCAGTACTTAACGGATAAAGACAACTGAAGGATCTTAGAAGTCCTGTGAAATCCATTTCTTCTGAGAATTGACTCATGAAATTACACCAATAGAATAACTAGAATAAATTATGCTTATGTTAAAAATGCGCAAACTGTGTGCGTTATAATTGTACGTATGTTGAACTTCTTTCGCACCGTATGTAGCTAACCGTACTAATCGGAGGTGCGAGGGAAGGATAACATACTAAACAAAAACGCAGTTCTAAAGAAATGAGTTTTCAATTGGACTTATTAGGAGTTTTCTATTCTTATTAAAGGGGAGGCATCCTGTCATGGAGTGCATTTTGAACTAACAAGTTGGACGTAGTTTTTGGGAATTGTCCAATTAGTCGGTAATTGAATCCATAACCGGTTGAATCAATTACTTAATTGGATCGCCCAGTTCTACATGAATCCATAACCGATGCAATGTGTACATAACGAAAAACATAGATTTTTCTTTTAGGCAGTTAGATGCATGTATTGTGCGCTTAATGAATTGTTACTTCTCCTTGACTACCCAGGAAAGCCTCACTGAGTCCCATGACTCTTTTCAGGAGGATCCTGCCAAGCTTTCACAGTACGGGCTAATGATTACTATGTAAATTCCATATTCTATGGGTCTGAACCACGTAGATAAAATAATAAAGATATCACGTTTTGGGCACAACACAAGCTTGTGTTGTGCCCGAAACGTCGTGATTTAATTTAGTTTTCATTTTTGTTTTATTTAAAATTTTCTTTATTTTTACCTAGGTGACTTTACCGAAATAAACAAAGTATGCTAATCTCTCTTTAACATGCTAATTTTCACCTGGCAGCCCTTTGATTGGTGGAAAACCAACTACCGTCGGGTTGGCTGCCCACCACTTATTGGCTGCTGACATTTAGGCTACGCCCATTTCTAACCCTTATAAACAGTTTGCCTTGGAAGCTAACCCCACTTTTCTTGAAGACGACCGCTTGTGTTGCGATCCAAACGTCATAGTTTTTTGTAAAAAAAAAAAAATATTTTCTTTGAACCTATCTACGTGACTTTACCGAAAGACCCAAGAATAAGTATTGCCTTGTGAAAGTTTGGCTTGGATGAATCAGTGTAGCCTAGCAACGTTCAAGACATCACACCTCGACTCAATGTCTGTGGGAAGAGGAATTCTTGTTGTCTCAGCAAGCGCTTATTTTTTTTTGTTCTCTTCTGTTTTGGATTCACAAGTGTCGGTCATGTGTGCCGGCATCATGGTTTACATTGGCCAAATAAAATGTAGCAAAAAAATAACTTGCAAAATACTTAATTTGGGAAAACCTAATAGCAATATCACCCCCTACTGGTAGACTAATTCCCACTTGCAGGCCCAGTTCTGTGTTCACCTTGTACCGCAGAGGGACAGCTGCCACCGGGGAAGTGAGGAGAGGGGTCGTCTAGGACAGGGGTCCCCAACCCCCGGGCGGCGGACCGGTAGCGGTCCGCCGCCCGGGGGTTGGAACCGGGCCGCACAGGAGGAGGTGAGAGCGGTGAGTCCGCGCGTGGAACCCGCCCCCATTATTTTATTATTTACCACTTCCATCCGCGCCTCTTTCCCGCACTGCGTACTCGTCTCAGTCACAGTGTTTGGTAAGCCCACAAGCTCTAACCCCTAGTAGCCTAAATGAGTAAAAAAAAAACGTCGCTGGGAAGCTTCTTTGAAAAGGGGGAAATACCCAATGATGAACCCCTCCCCCCCGGTCCGTGAAAAAAATTGTCTTCCACGAAACCGGTCCCTGGTGCCAAAGAGGTTGGGGACCGCTGTGTGTAGGATACAACTACAGTTGAGCATTGGAATCATTGAGATGTGATGTGTGTGTACTCTGATTTAAGATGCTAATATTGCCGGTTTGCAATCGGTTGGTTTGGGAGGTTTCAAATGCCTGACTCTTTGCTCACTCCAGGAGGGAATGCATCAGGCAGCGCTCCCAACGTGATGAACATCGACACATCTGGAGCCTCTGCATCCACAGCGAGACAAGATAGACTGGAAATCACTGGTGAAAGGGCACATGGGGAATACACGCACACACACACAAGATGTTTACCCACGTGCTTCGGAGCATGGAACTTGAAATGTTTTCTGAGGATATCTACGCTGAGTCTTTGTTCATGCAATTTGAAGCAGAACTGTCGATTCAGTATGAAAACTTCACTTGCAATTGTAATTTGGCAAATATCCTTGTCTGTTTACATATTTGTAGAGTAATCACCTGTTTCATGTTTTATGTACGTTCATTTTTGATAAGCACAGTTGGCTGCGTACGGTGCAAAATAAGTTCAACGTACATACATTATGAATGGTTTGAAAAGTTATTTGTCTCAGTCAACTCTCATTTCAGGACTTTTAAATTATTATTTACTTATATTTGTGCTTTATTGTTTTTATTTCTCCTGTAACGTTTTTTTTCTGATATTTATATTTGGTGTTCCCCCCCCCCCCCCCTCTAACTTTATATATGCTTCATTGCTTTACTTCACATTATTTGAATGGTATTGTAATTTTGGTGACGAAGGTCACTCTTGCAAATTCGACTATCCTGGATAGATACACAAATAAACTTAACCTGACGCTTAAGATAACCGCCATTGTCATACTCACGTTTGTGACGAAATTCGTCCCAGGAGTGGAGGCCTCTCGTGATATGGTCCAAACTGACGACGCTCGTCTGCAGAGCAACAAGGACGCCATTATGGAGGCGTCCGCCAAAACGGGCGTGGACCCCTCTGTGCTGACCACTGTCACGTCCCGCGAGTCCCGTGGTGAGGCCCTCCTTCAAGACGGCTCGGGCGACAAGGGAAACGCGTTAGGGCTCATGCAGGTGCTCAGCACCAACAAACGGCACACGTGAACACGAAGACGGTCACCGCATCGCGCGCTTTCAGATGCGCTTCTGTGGCCGTCTGGAACGCTCTTCCTTTCCGATATTAGGAAGCCGCTATAGCTATGCACTTTTAAATCTCGATTTTTAAAACCCATTTCTTTAGAACTGCTTTTTGTGTTTAGTTTGTTCTTCCACCGCACCTCCAATTAGCACCGTTGCCTACACATGGTGCAAAAGAAGTTCAACATACAACACGATTTAGAGGACTGCCAGGTCGAGGAAATGTTGTACTATATTCTCCAGCTGATAAGATGCACTTTTCCCCTGTATTTTAAAGCGGAAGTTGGGGGAGGGGTATATCTTATAGTCTGCTAAGGGTGTGTGTGTGACCAGATTTGTATAATTTTAATGACACAGGGAACATCATTAGACCTCCTTTGCGAGTATCAAAATATAATAATATGGGTTTTCCCCTTTTTTTTCTGGCAACAAAACTGAAACCTTTTTACTAGGATTCATGTCTGCATTAACCACAATACCTGCAGTCAAAATGCAAACAAAAAACATACTATGATAATATATGCATTGTCCTTGAAACTGATTGGTCCACACCAAGGGACGGCTTTCTTTTGAGCCTCGACCCAATTGGTGCTCGACCAGATGACGCCAAAAGGCGTACAATGCATATATTATCATAGTATGTTTTTGTTTGCATTTTGACTGCAGGTATTGTGGTTAATGCAGACATGAATCCTCGTAAAAAGGTTTCAGTTTTGTTGCCAGAAAAAAAAAGGGAAAACCCATATGATGACACAGGGAACACTTTTGGTTCGTCTTTCCGGAATATGGCACGATATGGTAGCTCAAACGACCAGCGATACTCCGCCTGAGTAGCTTTCACCTCGAATAAGCGTGCAGGGCATCCGTTTTTAGAGAAATTGTTGAACTCATCAATTAATTCAACATGAAGATTCATGTCACCGAATAACATTCGAAAATGATGCTTCTCGGCAGGAGGAAAAATATTCGTGATAACCAGACCTGCAATTTTGAACAATTAAAGAGTCTAAACTTGATTTGGCTCTTTCGTGACTGCAGGAATTACTCTTTGGTTCTTTCGGTAAAGTCACGTAGAAAGAGAGAATAATATTTTGTAAAAATATAATTATTTAATTTATTACTTTCACGTAGAAAGAGAAAATAGTAAATTAAATAAATATATTTCCTCTTTCTACGTGACTTTACCGAAAGAACCCAAGAGTATATTCTTGGTTCTTTCGGTAAAGTCACGTAGAAGGGAAACAATAAAATAATAAAAATATAAAACAATAAAATTCTCACGACGTTTCGACTGCAACACAAGCAATCATCATCAGGTGAGAATTTTATTGTTTTATATTTTCATTATTTTATTGTTTCCCTTCTACGTGGTGACTTTACCGAAAGAACCAAGAATATGAATCCCTGCGGTCACGAAAGCTTTAAATCAAAATGTAAACACTGTTGTGTGTAAGTGGCGAATTTCTGAAGGGGGTGGTGTACCTTTGGAATGTGTAAGTTATTCCACGAGCCTATTGCAAGAAAATTTTCTTGAATCCCTGCAGTCACGAAAGCTTTAAATCAAAACCAAAGAGTAATTTAAGAGTCTATTCAGGCGAATGGGGTGACAAACAATAACTGGCTTTGTCCAATGACTTCCTCTTGGAAAAGTTTCATCATTCCACCCACAGCACCTCGGTCTGCTGCACACCATATTATGAACCTTTTCCACTCCATATTGCCACACTCTTCACCCAATTCTGGCATGGGCGCTTTGGAGACATCGCATCCAACTTATTTTTGTGCCCGCCATAGTGATTGCGTCCGTGTTTACAGGTTGACAAGCGTTTCCACGAGCCACAAGGGGCATCGAACAGCGCGGAGCACATCACGCAAGGTGCAGAAATCCTAAGCAACAACATCAACACAGATGCAGACGAAATTCCCAGACTGGACTCCAGAACAGCATCTGTAAGGTACGAGGTCTCAGCGGGTGATAGGCATTCATAGCCATCACAATGACCAGCCAGAGACGCCATCCTTTAGTCATGAATGTCTTCATCCAGCCGTGGCTTGACAAAGTGCTGTACTTTTTATTTTTAAAATAATTGACACCCTTCATTTTTTTAATTGTGATTCACTACATGGGTGTGTGGACAAATTTGGAGTTGCCTGCATCGTGTGTCTACTGGACATCTGTGAAAATTGCTTCATAGCTCATCGGATTCCTTCAATCTAAATATTCTGATTCTGATTCTGTGTGTTTGCCTGTGTGTGCATAGAGAATGTGCGGATCTATGCCAGGATGGACAAGGGCACTGCAGGAAATGACTCTGTCGATGACGTGGCAGCTGGTGCCCAGTGCAACTGTGTCCCAGGAACGCCAGCACTCTTTCCCAAGTGACAGTGACTCTGCACTTGTCAGAAAGCCTAGCGATACAGGTTGGGGGTTCAATGCCAGGGCACTGCGAGATGCACCCACTTGGATCATGATCCATCTCCATCCTCAACCCACCTCAGCGCCATTTGTAATTTGAATGGGCATTATCCATTGATTCAGTAAATAAAATCCTAAATCAATTTAACTAGCAGTCAGCACAATTCATACCTATAAATAATATATATTCACATTTCAGGGTTACGTATTATCGAGACGGGACGCCAGATGTGCTGCCTGAAGAAAAATAAATTGTATTCATGAATAGCCCAGAATTAGTCACAAATTGGACCAAAGGTCTCACTTCAATGATATAGTTTTGATAGCCATAGGCTGACAGAGAAATATTCCCAGACTTGGGTCTGCAGAAATGGTGGTAACCCTACCACCCATATGTCCCACTCCATTCATTCATATGCCAAGTCACTCAAGTAACTCAACCACCCATTCACTCAACCACTCACCCACCAACTGACGTTTATTTGATTGGTCATACGGGGTGGTCACGTTTGTCCAGCTGTCTGGCTTTTTTAAAAGGGAGATCCGTGGTGCGTGAGCACGGGAGGAACAAAACAAAGACAAAATTAAACGTCAGTATTGCAGAGAACGAGTACAACTTTGGTGGCCACCTGTCTGAGATTGACTTAATGTGGGGACTGGTGTTTTAGCGGCAGCAATTTGTTTGTACAGAGATCTTGTGGTTCTGTACATTACTGTGTTGTGGTGAAAGTTATTACAATATACGGCACAGTTTTGATAGACCAAGTGCTGAGACATATGTTCTGATTTGGTCTGTGAAAAGTGTGCAGAGTAAACCCTACGTGTAATACAATGAGATGCAGGCAGTTACAGTACGGATAATCGAGGGCATTTGCCATACATTTTGTGCCATGCATTGAGTAACTACCATCATACAACACGGTGAAATACTCTGTATCAAGAGCGACCACAACTCGACACAATGCAGTGAATCGAGTGAGTCCATGAATCTTTCGAGTCAGGTGACTTCACAGTACAGTACAAGGTGGACGAGTTGGGGGACTGTTACGGTGATAAAGAAATGTAATGCATCGGGAAACGTAATTGTGCTGCTTGAATATTAAATCAATCCATCCATCACGCGTGTGCAGTTGTACACAATGAGCATGACATACCTGGGGCAAGGGGACGGATGAAGAACGTATGGCGACCAGACGCATCATCGCACACCACACCTGCAACCTATCAGGTTGCAGACAAAATCAAACAGGACTTTATTACTGGCAGTGGAAATATGCATCAATTCATTAATGTGAATTTCCGAAGCCTCGCAATACGCGCGCACATTATGAAAGAGATGTGGAAATGTAACGTTTCGAAGAACGGGAGTGAAAAAAATTGCTACCACCAATCAGAATCAGACTGAGAATTGTATTTATCGTGGAGGAATCCGATCAGCTATGAAGCTCTTTTCACTCATGTCCAGTAGTTTCACAGAAGTTCGATAGAGAGAGAGGGAGATAGAAACATTAAACAACACGAGAGAGACCGTAACATCAAAGCAAATGATCATTGCATCGAATCACGATCCAGAATCGTGATCATCAAATTGCTGGGTGTTAATTGTTCAAAGTGGTTTCCTGGTCTAATGAGCTTTGAGATGGTGATAATCTCCCGTTTACAGCCCTTGGCCAGTAGTGGAAATTACACTCCTCTGGTCGGGGAGAATCTACCCATAGATTAACCACCGCTGATAAACCCACAGCGCGGTACCTGTTTTATCGACTCCGGAGGTATGATGGGCTAAGTCAACTCCCAACTTGGATTTGAACTCGCATCATTCCGAATACAAGCCGCTCGCTGTACCGCTGAGCCTGGTTAAACAAATCGTGACTTTTTTTTGTAGTCGCTTTAAAACTGGAGAGACGAAGGCGATCGGGCGTGGTGCTGGCCACACACCCCTTCGTGTGCCACAGTGCCGGCCTTCATAGGTGCTCGCGAACAGCACTTGCCCCAAAAGTCTGTTAAAGGCTATACGGAAGATCTTGTTCTTTGTACACTACACAGCATCCACCAGCTCTGATGTGTCTAAAAATACCGTATACAGAGGCACAGCATCCTCCATCCCTGGTGTTTTGTGTACTCAGAATATAAGAAAGGAACACTTTCCCTCCTCATCGGATCAGATAAGAGCATTGACATTGAAGGTCAACTGAGTTGACCTTGGAAACGGATACATTGACCGTTCCAGAACCTTGGCCAGACATTCACGTGCATGTTCCGGGAAAGTCCCAAACTTCCCGGGCGGCTATTTTTCAGCGCAAGGAAAGTCTCAAGGGTGGCATTTGGGAAATTCCCAGACATACCCAGGACAAACAACCAATCAGAACAAAATACAAATTATTACATGCGTCAATAAAAAAAACACAAGGCAAATATAATTCGGATGAAAGACAGTGGCATTCCTCTTTCACTTCAACAAGTAGTGTGTGGCAAAAAATCGAGAGCGCCACAGTGGCGAGATGTTAACTGCCTTGCCTGGTATGCAGGATGCACGTGGGTTCGATCCCGACCCTGACGCCTGCTGCTGTATATTTGGAGTGTTCGTGTTCTCCCCGTGGTCACGTGCATTTTTCTCCGGGTTTTCCCTCCAATGTTTAGAAGCAACATCACGTGTTTAGAGTATTTGGCTGCTATACATGTCCACGTGATAAGCCACTTCGATGAGCTATCATTTGTGGCAAGGTCGCTTCTGAAAATGAGCTATTAGCTCATTCGACCTTACCTGGTCAAATGAAAAGTTTAGTTTAAATAATTTAGTTTAAACCCAAAGTGACACGATCATATTTTAATTGACGAGGCTGTTTCCAAGTAAGAGCTTCAATATCGTCTGACATTTCATATTAGCCCACCTAAACAGTAAAATCTTGGCCGTGTGAATAATAATATTTTATTTTATAAAGCGCACTACATGTCGAAATACGCGTTTAAAAGAGCTGGACTGTATTTACAACGTGTTGGCGTGGCGACAATCTTGCAATAGGCTCGTGGAATAACTTACACATTCCAAAGGTACACCACCCCCTTCAGAAATTCGCCACTTACACACAACAGTGTTTACATTTTGATTTAAAGCTTTCGTGACCGCAGGGATTCATATTCTTGGTTCTTCCGGTAAAGTCACCACGTAGAAGGGAAACAATAAAATAATAAAAATATAAAACAATAAAATTCTCACCTGATGATGATTGCTTGTGTTGCAGTCGAAACGTCGTGAGAATTTGTTTTATATTTTTATTATTTTATTGTGTCCCTTCTACGTGACTTTACCGAAAGAACCAATAATATAGTGTTTAATTTTTTTAAATTGTTCTCTGCTGTTACTTGGGGCTTTCTACCAGGTTCCCCGTCGAAAAATTCGCATTTATTGCCCAATGTGCGTTTGCCTGTGGCCCAAAAAAACAACCTAAAAAAACACATTGTCGCGTGACGCAACTGAGAAACCGAAACTTTCTAGTTTGGTCTGCTGCGGTATCAGTGCATGCATACATCCTCTTTTTTTCTCTCTTTATATACTGTATATAGCCGGGGCCAAAACACATTCGCAGCGCCACTGTGCTTTTTAGGGCTGAGATTAACGAGTTCGGATCGGTTGCTTCCGTCTGGTCCTGCGGCAGACTCACGCCAAGCAAGCGTCCCAAAGATGGGTGAGTGCTTTATGAAAGAGTTTCGAATAGAATACGCGCATTTGCAAAGAGGGAAAACGTCAGAGCGTCCGCTATTGAAAAGCAACAACATCGTTGTCCGTACGTGGCTCATTGATTGGCCACCGCGTCGCGTTCGTTTTGTTTCGCATGGGGCGTTTGCCACAGGCCGTGTGACAAACGAGCGAGCCTTGCTGTAAATGATGGCAACACTCCTCCTGCCACCGTGCAGGCATCGGCATTGTGAAGCGTGGATCTCTGAGACGATAGGTATCTCGCTGTGAGAGGTTGCAAACGTTCGCTAAAGTCTACGCGTGGCAACGGTGTGTGCGTGCAGTTGTGCGCGGTACCACATGGACACGTATGTACGGTCTTGTATAATCGGCGTTTTGCCAGCGGGCTGATGGGTGGGTCTCTCTGTGTATGTATATAATAAGTAATATTTTTTTTACTTTTTTTTTAAAACACGCTTTCATGAAATGTACCGTGCTAGTAATGTAAGAACTCCACGACTCCAGGAAAAGCCCCGAAGCTTGCCAGAACGTAAGGGGGCCGTGGTGATTGACAGCCAACGTCAGTTTATCGTGGACAATTAGACCTAAGCCGAAACATAACATATAAAAAATAATGTTTTAAAAATATTTTTTTTAAATGTTTCATGATATAATATAGTATTGTCATCAGTATGCAATAAGTATACCACATTGGGAAGTGTTTTAAAATTGAGTTACAGGATTTGAGGATACGACGACTTTACCGAAAGAACCAAGAATATGAATCCCTGCAGCCACGAAAGCTTTAAATCGAAAAACAACAGACAGAGTGAGTTAATAGAAAGCGTGTGATAATAATAATAAAAAGTGGGTTTAGCGGTAGTGCGTTTTTTGTTAGCGAGCTGCGCTCCCGCCGAACACCTGTGACGATGATCTGAATCGGTCCTGATCCTCCCCAAGATCGATGTGTAATCAACGCCACTGGGGAGACAAAGGCGGCCGGGCGTGGTACTAGCCCATCGTGTGCCGTACCGGTCTTCGTCTGTGCTCACTAACACCACTTGCCCGGGCAGTCAGTTCAGGCCATAGGGGGCCGGGAGGAGGGGATCGTTGTCTTTGCCTTGGTGGTGATGCCCCCGTTCCATTTAAACTCTTCGCGTTTCCGTCGTAAGCCGCCAGCAGACGGAGACCCTACGGAGACATCATGAACATCGACACGACAGGAGCGTCGGCTGATACAGCGAACCAGGACAGACTCGGATTCGATGGTGAGAAGGCAAAGCGGGGAGACCTTCGCCGGCAGTGCGTTGTGTGTGTGTGTCGTATCAAACCTCACGTGGGAATAGTTTTACCCAGCAAAGCCTCACTGGGATTTTTGAGAATGTTTTTTTTTTAAGTGGTGGAGAGGTGGGGGGGTCCCCTGCTTATGATGATTAGGTGAAGTATGAGTCGAGGCCATATTACAGGTTTTTTTGGGTTAGATCGCGTAAATATATAAATGTCTCGTTAAACCCACCACCACCCAACACAGTCAACTAGTAAGGGCTGTCGCGTAAACAGAACGTGGCCAATTCGTCACTAGTACAGCACACCGGTGTGTTGGAGAGCAAAGCCACAACATTTACAATCTGAGTACGACGTTTCGCCAGTAATTACAACTAGCTTCATCATTATGGGTTATATTGGTCGCGAATGCCTATGGGTCGAGTGTTTTTTGCATGATAAAGGAAAACAGAAGTTTTATTTAAAAATAAAATATATGCATATTACAGTACTGACGAACACTCAAATTCGCCACGGATAGGTCAGCGACCTATTAGATACACTGCCCTCCAGTGACCTAGTTGATACACTGCCCTCCAGTGACCTACTTGATACACTGCCCTCCAGTGACCTACTTGATACACTGTCCTCCAGTGACCTACTTGATACACTGCCCTCCAGTGACCTACTTGATACACTGCCCTCCAGTGACCTACTTGATACACTGCCCTCCAGTGACCTACTTGATACACTACCCTCCAGTGACCTACTTGATACACTGCCCTCCAGTGACCTACTTGACACACTGCCCTCCAGTGACCTACTTGATACACTGCCCTCCAGTGACCTACTTGATACACTGCCCTCCAGTGACCTACTTGATTCACTGCCCTCCATTGACCTACTTGATACACTGCCCTCCAGTGACCTACTTGATTCACTGCCCTCCAGTGACCTACTTGATACACTGCCCTCCAGTGACCTATTTGACACACTGCCCTGCAGTGACCTACTTGACACACTGCCCTCCAGTGACCTACTTGACACACTGCCCTCCAGTGACCTACTTGATACACTGCCCTCCAGTGACATACTTGATACACTGCCCTCCAGTGACATACTTGACACACTGCCCTCCAGTGACCTACTAGATACACTGCCCTCCAGTGACCTACTTGACACACTGCCCTGCAGTGACCTACTTGATACAATGCCCTCCAGTGACCTACTTGACACACTGCCCTCCAGTGACCTACTAGATACACTACCCTCCAGTGACATACTTGACACACTGCCCTCCAGTGACCTACTAGATACACTGCCCTCCAGTGACCTACTTGACACACTGCCCTCCAGTGACCTACTTGACACACTGCCCTCCAGTGACCTACTTGACACACTGCCCTGCAGTGACCTACTTGATACACTGCCCTCCAGAGGCTCGTCATCGTCTCCACAAAGCCGCGTGTTGCACTGTGCATGCTGTGGTTCCAAATCGACGTAACCCACCAACCCCGTCAATTACCAGATCACAAGCAATGCAGTCCACTCGCCACGCAACATAAGCTGGGATGTGATTGATAGTCCTCACGGCTGTTTCAGTTCGAAGCATTTGTCTCACGGGTCAGCAAACCTGCAGCTCCGAAGCCGCATGCGGAAGGCTCTTTAAAGATGCTAAGATGCTAAGTGATCGTGATTTATGATCGCACTGCGGCTCTTGAAATCTTCAGTTGTTTTACCGAATTCGAAAAAAAAATAGCTCATAGTTATTTGGGTTTGGGGCCGTCCATAAATGACGTGCCCCCACCGGGGGGGGAGGGGGGGTGGTCAGACATTTGTGACGATGTGTGACGAGGGGGGGGGGGGGTTTGAGAAATGTGACGTCACATCAAAATGCGCAACTTTAAATAAATATAGACAACACGTTCTGCTTAATTAAATATACTTTTTAAAAAAATGTTTTCTCCTACAACATCAGAGTGCAGCGCCACATTAAATACGCACTACAATGACAATAGTTTAAAGCGATTTGAAGCATGTTTTATTTTTTAGGGGTGTGTGGGGGGGGGGAGTGGGCAGAGCTTTGCGACGTCATATTTGAGGGGGGGGGGGGTCTGACTTTTTGTGACGTCGTGTGACGACGCGTGACGTCATTTATGGACGGCCCCTTTTTGCCTGCCCCCTACTAGCGTCGATCAATGTCGTTGCACAACGGCTGCCGCTGTGTGGTTAATTAGTGGGCAACACTGGACTTGGAATTCCTCCAATTCTGCCCACCCAGCAGTGGACACGAGTTCACTACAGTCGATCTGCAGGGCGTGCCCAGACGGTCCGTCCGGCGTGGAAGAGTAGGCCAAAACACCTTCCACGAGGTGACCCGCTCGCTCTCTCTCTCGATCTCGTTAGAGCTCCCGGGTGGAGACCCTTCCACCAGCAGTTGCGTGAGCAATAAATTGCATGGCGTCACCTTGACCTACTAAGTGCAACTGTATCCTCAAGCGCTCTACACAACGCACGTAAATCATAACAATATAAGCAGGGGAAAGTGAATGGAAGGCGATAACATTATTAAACAACACGATAATATTCTAGATGTTAAGTTTTCGTGACTGCAAGGATCCATACTCTTTGGTTCTTTCGGTAAAGTCACGTAGGTAAAAAATAAAAAATAAAAATGACGGAAGCTTGTGTTGCCTCCGAAACGTCGTGATTTGTTTTAGTTGTTTTCATTTTTTTTTACGTACGTGACTTTACCGAAAGAACCAAAGAGTAACATGATAATATGTCTTCTTGGTTCTTTCGGTAAAGTCACCACGTAGAAGGGAAACAATAAAATAATAAAAATTAAAAACTAATAAAATTATCACGACGTTTCGACTGCAACACAGGCAATCATCATCATCATCAGGTATAAAACCACACCTGATGATGATGAAGAACCAAGAATATGAATCCCTGCAGTCACGAAAGCTTTAAATCACGATAATATATCTTCGCAACGAAGGTGGGAAAAGACCACCGCGTGGCAATACCGCGACACAGCCAATAGGAGGCAGTGAGAGCCGCCGGTAGGTTTTTTTTGTTTGGCTTCGTTTACTCGGGGAGAGCCCCAAGTCTCAACTCTTTTTTTTCCTCCTGCCACGTTCTTGCAGTAGGGGGCGATGTTGCTGTCAATTGACTCATTTTCAAGTAACATTTCAACATTGGGATGTTTTGGCCAATACGGGTTATATATTTTTTAAGCTATGGGAGAAATCGGAGAACCTGAAGGAAAGCCATACTAAACATGTGAAAGGGCTAAACATGTGAAAGGGCTAAACATGTGAAAGAGTCTTCTTTGGTTCTTTCGGTAGAGTCACGTAGAATGAGAATAAAATAATAAATTGATAAAATAAAATAACACAATAAAATTCTCACGACGTTTCGGCCACAACACAAGCGGCCTTCAGATGAATTTATTATTTTATTCTCATTCTACGTGACTTTACCGAAAGAACCAAAGAAGATGAATCCTTGTAGTCACGAAAGCTTTAAATCGAAATCATGTGAAAGAGCTAAACATGTGAAAGAGCTAAACATGTGAAAGAGCTAAACATGTGAAAGGGCTAAGCATGTGAAAGGGCTAAACACGTGAAAGGGCTAAACATGTGAAAGAGCTAAACATGTGAAAGGGCTAAACATGTGAAAGAGCATACAGACTACACGCACATGTATTCTCCCGATTTGGCAATCGAACCCAGGCCCTTTTTTTCCGTGCAACGCAAGTGTTTCCACTGCGCTACTCTGTTTCCCCGAGACGGCAATCACGTACGGGTTTCCTAGGACATCGCGGCCGTTACACACTGTCCGTCAAATCTGAAAACGACAGCAAAACCCCACCACAAATAGAGAAATAGCGTAGGACGGAAAACCCCAGGTTTCAAGCAAGACACAAACATTGTTTTAAAGAGCTCGCAGACATTTGTGTACAATACAAATAATCCACCAGAATTAACGGAAGAAGTCCATTGTGGTCCTTTTGCCAGATCACCATCAACACAAGTTTGAGAAAATAAGACCAGGCGAGGAGAACGGCAGCAAGTGTTACGACGATAGACCGTTGAGCCCTCACCTTGACGAAAAACCGGTCCGCAGTTAATTTGCAATGACGCTAAAAGGGGACGATGGCTTTTCTCCCAGGACCGGCAGCTTCTCATCAGCTGGTCAAGACTGACGACTGCCGCCTGAAGAGCTACAAGGACCGCATCATGGACGCTGCCGCCACCACGGGCGTGGACCCGGCCATCGTGGCCGCGATCGTCTCCCGCGAGTCCCGCGCTGGCAACGTCCTCGACAACGGCTGGGGCGACAATGGGAATGCCTTTGGGCTCATGCAGGTGCCGCGGTTGGCGAGATATTGACTACCTCGCCTGGTGTGCAGGACATCGTGGGTTCAATGCCGACGCTGGCGCCTGCTGTATATTTGGAGTTTGCGTGTTCTCCTCGTGGTCGCGTGGATTTTTCTCCGGGTCCTCCAGGTTTTCCCCACACGTTTGTAAACATGGGCTTAGAGTAGTATCTGGCTGCTGTACGTTTCCACGTGATAAGCAACTTAGTTGAGCTATCGTTTGTGACCAGGTCGCTTATGAAAAAAAGCTATGTAGCTTAGTGGGCCTCACCTAGTAAAATAAAAAATAGTTGAAAGCAAATGGCACAAAGTCTGATGATTACTTGGTGGATTTTGAGTGTCTCTCAATAACATACTGTATGGGTGTATACTGTCTATACACAGGGTGTTTGAAAATGATGGACCCGATTTGAAATAGCTATATCTCTGCAACCACGAACCGCCCATGAATGAAACTCTTACCACTTGAAAGGGTGGGGCATAGAGAGGGCGGGGCATAGAGAGGGCGGGGCATAGAGAGGGCGGGGCATAAAGAGGGCGGGGCATAGATAGGGCGGGGCATAGAGTTTCAAATGATTACCGCTCGATGCCTCTCCCAGCGCACAAAGAGCCCCTAGCCTCAGTCATTCGCAAGACGGTGACCCCGCAACACAAGGCGTTTTGCGTTCTGCAGTTCAGCAAGACTGAATCCGTAATTGCGGTGCAGCGTGCGTTTCAACTGCGTTTTGGCATTGATCCGCCAATGTCAAAGAGCATTCGTTGTTGGTACCGACAGTTTGAGGAAACAGACTGTTTATGTAAGGGGAAGAGCACGGGGCGACCACGCTCCTCAGAGGAAAACGTGAGAAGAGAGGCGTTTGGGACGAATTCGACTATAGACTCGATGTTGTCCATACAGCAGGTGGAGGGCACATAGCATTTATAAAATGGTTAGTAAAACTTGATAACTCATTAAACCATTTGTAACTTTTCGTGTAATTGTAACATGTTGCCATCGTGACATATACTGCTTTGAAATCGGGTCCATATTTTTAAACACCCTGAATATGCGTACAGCTTTATAAAGGTTTAAATGCTAATACTGTAGCACTTTGATAAATCATGTCATGTTATTTCGTAACCTAAAACCCTATCATGATCTCGTACGTTACTGCCAGTTTCGTGCCAACATTTCAACATAGCTTTTACTTTGATGTAGCTTCACAGTGTGTCTGTCGCATTTAAAAATGAATAATATTGGAGTGTTTGGCATCGGCATGGATGTACGACAGTTTCAGGTTTGTGGAAAAACCAGCAATGCTTGTCCTCTTTGAATGGACTGATCCCCACCATAGAAAAGTGGAATAAGACAACTGAAAATGAGCACCAGCCAATGCTGGTTCGAGTATGGAGACAATAATGTTTACATGTAACATTTCAGAATCAGAATCTTTATTTATTCTTTATTAACATATACTGGAAAGAGCAGTGTTCTTCATTGCGAGGCGCGTGGGCCACTGGCCTTTAGTACGACCCGTAATGTGTGGCCCCTGACAATACACACATGTTAAAACACCCCATCATGCTGTCAAACCCCAATGGTCTCGAAAGTGGCCCCGATCTGAAAATTAGTGGAGAACACTGGTATTGGTATTGAGTGTAGTCTAAGTATGCTATCACCTGGTAGTTAAAGTTGAACTCTGGAGCTGACTTTGGTTGAGGCCCTTTGCCATCAGTGGCATGATCAAGAAATGTCAGTGCTGCACTTTTACCTTTGCAAGAGAAAACCGTTCGGTGACAATTTCCCCGAGGCCATGCCCGGACATGAAGTGAGACAGACGAAGATCGCTGAAATTATTCCACAGGTTAATTTCTTCATCTTATGGTACGCCATCGATATCGCGCAGGTTATTTAAGTGGGGATTAAGAAAATAAGAGGGGCATTTAGATGATATTGTACAAGTTCGCCTGGCTCGTACCATCTGGCTAGTACCAGCTGTGTCAAGACTGGCTCCTGTGGAGGGGGCCGATTCATGCGGTTGTTAAGAAAATTAAGTGGGCTTTGGCAGGACACGTTACTAGAAACAATAATGGTTGAGGGCCAAAAACAATGAGGGAGTGGCAGCCAACGAGCAGCACATCCGAGAGGGAGTCCACAGGGAGACACACATCGAAGAAATCGGCTCGTGTGCAAGTGTGAGGTGGATACATTTTATCACGCAGGATTGTGACAGGTGGCAGCGGATCTAAATCGCATTATATTTTGCAATTGTGAGAGGTAGCTGTTGCCGTAACTGCGCGCCCGTTCACATGCTCTCTGCCAGATTGACAAGCGCTACCACACGCCCCTAGAAGGTGCTTACGACAGCGTGGAGCACCTGGTGCAAGGCTCGAAGATCCTCATTGACATGTTCAACACGATCCAAGTCAAGTTCCCCACCTGGACAGCAGAACAGCAGCTCAAAGGTACAAAACGATCTTCGGCGGGTGACTTAGAGCCGGGCTATCCGATGCTATTTCGTGGCTTTTCGTGATCGTGCTGCATAGCTCCGCGCTGTGTTTTCGGGTTGTACCATGCGTTGTTTGGCACAGTGTCCTGCGTTTCGCTCAACTTGCTTCAGTTCCTGCTGAAGCTCGCAAGACGTTGAGTGAGCGTCAGGCATCGTGCCGAACAACACGCGGCATAACCCGAGAACATATCGGAGGGCATTGGATTATTTTAAAAATATATATTGCTCGACCTATTATCGATTACTCGGCTGATCAGCTTTGCATGAAAATAGCGTAGCGGTTAGCTGGAGCACACCATGCCTCCGCGGGTATCCGCTCGCATATGCGTGCGTGCATGTGTTGTGTGTGTGTGTGTGGGGAGCGGTAGTGTAGTGGTCTGCGTGCTCCGCTATGAACCCGGTGTTCCGAGTTCGAATCCCCACGAACGGCCAACACCAGTGATAATTATCTGAACCGGTCCTGGGTCTCCCCTAGGTCGACTCAGCCTCAAATGAGTACCTGCTGCGGTGTGTGTAAACATCGCTGCTAGGGAGACAAAGACGGCCGGGCGTGGTCCTGGCCACGCACCCCCTCGTGTGCCGTGCCGGCCTTCATAGGCGCTCCCTAACAGCACTTGCCCCATCAGTCTGTTAAGGCTACTCCAGGGATTTTTTGTTGTTGTGTGCCTGCATGCACAGGAGCCATCTCCGCTTACAATGCGGGTCCAAGGAACGTGCGCAGCTACGACAAGATGGACGTTGGCACCACTGGCAATGACTACGCCAACGACGTGGTGGCTCGGGCCCAGTGGCTCCGTAGGAATCTGCGATTCTAAAGCACGGGCTCACCCCCCCATCCCCCCCCCCTCTAGGTACCCCACCACCTACAATATCCCCCGGCTCCCCCCCCCCCCCCCCCCACGTACCCCCCTCACTCCCCCCTAGGTACCCCCCCCCACTTACCGCTCCCCCCCCCAGGTACCCCCCCCACTCCCTCACCCCCCACTTCCCCCCACCCTGCTCCCCCACCCCCCCAAAGGTACCCCCCTCGCCCCACGCCACACCCCGCTGCTCCTTCTCTTTCACCCTCCGAGCAACAGCTGCTGGAAAATCCCCGAGTAACTCGGACGGTCTCCACTCATCGGGTGAGACACCAGGCCTAATGGAGCAGGTGCACAGGGTCGGATGAACAAACACTGTAACGGCTTTAGGGGTTGCAGCCCAGGGCATCGGATTTTCAGTGTTTCCCCCAACATTTATGTGGCTTTATAATAGTGGAAATGAAAAAATACAGTGGCACTATTTATAGATCCTGTAGTTCCTAATTTGACAATTTAAGGCATTGCACCAGTATGGCAATTACTTGTCGTTATATTCCACATTTTCAATATAGTTTTTACTTAGCTTTAGCTTCACGGTGAGTCTATAACAGTGTTTGTCATCGGGCATGGCAGTCAGACATTTTCAGGTTCGTGAAAGAAATGGAAGTGCTTATTGCCCATATAGAGAGACTGGTCCTCGCCATAGCAATGCGGAATGTTAACCCCTTTGGAGTTGAGCATCAGCCGAACACTCGTTCGAGTGTACAAACACCTTGCTTGATGTTTACACCTGAAATATATACGAACCGCAGTCTTTAAAAAAACACAGAGTCTGCGGCAATGTGCCATTACCTGGTTTTAGAGCCGGACATGAATAAATAATATACAATTCAAGTTGGATTTATGTGGCTTATGAATGCAAACGCATTACAATACGCTGTATAAGAACGGGGACATTGTGCATCGTATACACCAGTGGTTCACAATCTTTCTTCATCCGCAAAGCCCTGTCAACCCTAAAAACATTTTCACGGACCACCAAGCAGTAAACAAGGCGTCTTGGATCTGCAACGGTTCCTCTGGCCATTTGCCACGGCTTTGCAAAACGCCACTGGTCCCCAGACCACATAGGTTTGGAATCACTGCTGTAGATTCTCATATACTTATTTACCTATTCTCTGGATTATAATATGTTTCGGAAAATTATACTCACCTCCAACTTATGCCGGGTGTCAATAACGGCATGCACATCTTGTCACGCATCCTCAACTTTTCTTTACAATCCATGAGGGGACGGGGATAGTACCTGCACAATCCGGAGAATACGGTAAATCATTTGCTGAGCGAGCCTGCCAGATAAATCCTCATTACTGTGACTCTCGGCTCGAGTGCAGCTTGCAGAAAGTCGACTGTGCTCAACATGCCCCATCGTTGCGGCCAAACACGCTCGACAAATCGTTTGCTCAGTGAGATTTAAAGTGCAGTGGCGCTAATCTCCACCGTAAGCCAATTAAGCACCGCGAAGCATTCCGACATGACGGGATTTCCCCCTGGAATGTGATGGCCACCGGGCCGCTGCTCAAAATTCGCCAGTTCTCCCACGACGGTGGCTCTCTGCTGTACGCGCAGGGATTTGCGTGCCGTCGTTTATTTCTTCAATTGCACCCCTAAATATCAGACTTTAACGTCGTCGGTGCGATAAAAAAAAGTAAACCACTGTGGTCTCCGCTCCTTCAACTGAGGAGGAAAAGCAAAACTGTACGAACTCTCTCCTGAAGCCCTCTCTCATGGTTAGCAGACTCCAACATTGGCATTTAGCTCCTGAACATATTTCCATATGCAATAATAGATGAGAATGGGTTCAGTGTAGAGCAATTGGTGCAGTGGTTCGCACACTCCGCTACGAACCCACCAACCTGAGTTAAATTCCTCGGGCATGGCTAACATCAGTGGCAAGCGACATCTGAATCTTCTGTGGGCGAGCTTTTCACTAACTCCCACTGACCAGCATAGTGAAGTATGTACAGTCCAGTCTAACAACCCCTATAGCCGTCATAGTGCGATGGTGGCCTTCAACCAGCAGTCGATTGACCGACGACTAAAAATCGAATTATATGATTTAAGCGATTTCATTGTTGCCTACATCATCCACATTAGTTAATGTAGACACGTGAAATATGGTAGACAGCGTTTCAATGTTTAGAATGCGCTGTCGAAAGCACTGGCCCAGCAGAGAATTTAATGTATGTGTAGTGACATAGCACTGACTGTTGGACAGCAGCAGGAACTGCAGGTGGGCACTTAGCGCACACGCCGCTGAGCATACGCGCGGGTGTGCTGGCATGGCGGAGGAACTGGGGCAAGGGTCATGGTAAACGTCGTGTGGAAGCCTCCTGGAACCCTCTGGAGGGTTCGAGAAGGGAGGCGCGGCTAGGGCGGAGCCGCCGGTTCTGGGATTGGACTCGCCTCGTCGTCGCTGTCATCGCCCTCGTCGCCGCCGCCTTCGCCCGATCATTGCACGGCCGGACAGTCGTTGGCTGTCCCCGGTCGACGCCATCGGTGCAATGCGGACAGGGTCGTGTCTGGGATGAGTCGACGGCAGTGGGGTCGTGTGTGGGAGAGAGAGGAGGCCAGAGTGATGGCGTGAGCTCGGCAACAACAATAAAAAGGGCAGAGCGGCGCCTCCTGCGACCACCTCGTCTCTCCGGCTGACTGTGTGTGCGACGCACGCCAACGACACGCGCAGACGACACTACATATGTATGCCTGTTGAACTTCTTTCCCACCCGTATGTAGCCAACCATGCTAATCGGAGGTGCTAGGGGAAGGCAACAAAGCAAAAACAAAAAGCAGTTTTAAGAAATGAGTTTTCAATCTAGATTTAAAAGTGCATCAATAATAAACCGACCTCGTTTGGCAATTAATTATTCACGGACGTTTACAGCAAAGTTTGTTTTAGCTCAAGTGATGTGAAGTTGCTTACCTGTGACTCACACCACCACTGGAGTCTGATATCCACACGAGATAGTTTGATTCTCCTATCTGTCTGAAGTCCTTGCCATTTCCAGTCAGAACCCTACACACTGTGGTTTGCTTTTTCAATTAGTTTGGGGGTGCCGTGGTGGTGAGATGTTAACTACCTCGCATGGAATACAGGAGGTCGTGGGTTCGATCCCGACCCAGACGCCTATATATTTGGAGTTTTGGTGTCTCTCTTCCCGTGGTCACGTGGATTTTTCTCCGGGTCTTCCGGTTTTTCTCTCCCCATTTATAAACATGCGTTTCGCGTATTTGGCTGCTATAAATTTCCATATGATAAACCACTTAATTGGGTGATCATTTGTGGCCAGGTCGCTTCTGAAAAAGAGCTCAGTGGGCCTTACCTGCTGAAATAAAAACAAATAATGTAGTTTAAACATGTATGTTTGTTGTTGGCCATCCCTTTACAATCAACAGGTGTGTTTTATTGCATATACGGCGCACATTTAAGAGAATATGGTAATGGATACAACAAATAATCTACTCACCAACTGCTAATAAAAGTGTTTATAAGGCACCACAGTATAAAGTGGTATCTCCAACTGTAAGCCCACATTAATCTCTTCGCTCTCTGTCTGCTCGGAAGAACGCCCATTGCTTAACGAGTTTAAATTAAGTCAAAGTGATGTCCTGCTCAGATTAACATTGAAAAGGTGGCTCATTTCCTTGTTTGCAGCTCTGAGGCCAGTGGTGGAAATTCCACATCGTTCCTATGGCCGGGGCGAGTCTATCCATAGGACAACCAACTTTTGACTTCCACACTTAAGTGGTACGCGTTTTATCGATACCGGAGGGATGATGGGCTAAGTCAACCCCCAAGCTGGATTAGAACTCGCAACCTTCCACTCGTGAGCCGCTCGGTCAGTGGTGGAAGGCATCATTAACGATGAACTGGGTAAGTTGCATTCGCCACATTATCGGGCGCGTTCAGCTCTCGCTCATCACCTCATGAATTATTTAAACTGGTGCCCTCTTCCAAAGAGCATTAAAAACGATACGCAGCATTGTAATTTATACATTCAGGCATATAACGTATTGAGTCTTAATAGTTGTTTTCCTGGGGGCCTTACATTGTGACAGTTGGCCAAAATGTGATGAGAAGTGTTCTGTGTAGCTCTCCAAAGTGATTTGCGCGTTGTTACCGTACGTTGTTTGGCATGACGTCTGACATTCCGCTCCACGTGCCCGGAGCGTCTTCATCCCCCGAACAACGCACAACGTGACCCGAAAACACGTCAAGAGAGCTTAATGGCACGACCGTGCACACCTAAGCAGACGCGTTTTGCGTGCATATTGGAGGAAACCCGGAGAAAACCCACCAAGTAAAACGAGGAGATAGCACTCCAAAGTTCCGAACAGATGGATGAGTCACTTGGCCATTTCCCCTGCTGCCACCTCTAGGCCACGTCACAGCCCAGTGGGTTTAAGATTTCACGAATCTGCGTGCTTCATCAGCCCTCGCGCAGCAGAGCACTGGATGACTTGGGGCGCGCTGCGCACTCCACCTGACCTACATTGGGGGGCTCGAGTGTCTACGGGGCTCGGTGTTGGTGCTCATGACAGGAGGCGAGGAAACCCGGTCAGACAAGGGGCAAATGCAGCCCCATCTTCCCTGTGGGTGTGAATAATAAATAGCGTACTCTTATGTGCCACACAGAGGCAAGTCAGCAGTGCACGTACTCGTAGTGTTAAGCAGTTACATGTTGCCGTTGCCACAGCAAGGTAATTATTTGCCACGGTTGGTTCCGGACTGCACACGTGTATTATCGCACGACCCAACGCTCACCAAACCCCATTGTCACTAATTTAATGTATATTCTTGGGTCGTTCGATGAAGTCACGTAGATAGGTTCAAAGAAAATGACAAGAAAAATACAAAAAACTACGACGTTTCGATCGCAACACAAGCGGTCGTCTTCAGGAAAAGGGGGGTTAGCTTCCAAGGGAAACTGTTTATAAGGGTTAGAAATGGGCGTACCCCAAATGTCAGCAGCCAATGATAATGTAAGTGGTGGGCAGCCAATCCGACGATGGTTGATTTTCCAC